AAGTCCTGGATTGAATTAACCCCTCAAATTACAAGGGTTACAGGACCATATCTCTTCAAACCGAAAAAGATTGTTCAACAAATTAAGCATTCTTTAGCCTCTAGTCAAGGCGCTTCAATTTACACTTATGCTCAAATATGACTTCCGATAATTCAGAAACGAAAGAAAAACTGCAAAAAGTATCCAGGTCCTTTCTAAACGCACAAAAATATCATTTCTCGGACTTATATAGCCCACTAGGTTCTTCTCAAACAATATATCAATATATTTGGACTATCTCATTTCTCCAGAATTTTGGAACAACGAATATACCCGTATTTTCGGGAAAATACAATACTATTTACAAAAATGCGGAATAGTCTTCGCCTCTTTTTTTTTGTGAAATGCATACTACATTGACTAGTATTCATAATAAGGGCTATGCATATTCACAAAATCACCGGCCACTCACTCCATTTTGACAAAGTACTACTTGCCGTCTCATACAATATACTTTTCACTTCTGTAGTGACCTCAATTTTCACTCAAGATGAGCAAACTGAAAAATTAGATTAAGAATAAGATCAAAAAATACAAGCACCTCTTTTAGAGGAAATTGATAATCAACCAGGATCGCATGTATCCTCACATCCAATTCACAAGTTTTGATAGAACAACTCAAAACTTGGTCACCCAACAAACCCAGTCTTAAAAAATTTCTACTGTTCTAGGATATACCAACAGATTCAACTATAGACGCAACACTTGACGACGACTTGAGAGGTTTTGAGGATCTTCTCTCCCTCTTACCACCAACCGATCCACTGGACTCGCAGTTTTCAGCACTCAATCAACAACCAACTGTTTCTACTACTACAACCCCCACTGCAACGCCGGCCTCAACACGATCCTTCGTTGTGCCACTACCTCACACCACTTCAGTTGTCCCAATAGCTACAGCATCAAAACCACCACCCTAAAAGTTTCCACCCTAATTTCAAAATACCCCTGGGTCCCTCGAATGCTCGAATTAAAAAACGGACCCAGATAGTAAGACCATATAAGATACTAACGGCAAATACGCCGGTATCAGCTTCTCAATATCCAATGCCCATTAGGCGACAGCCCTTACACCCCAATGAATTAAATACTAAATTACATATTCATTTAGAAAAGGAACGGTATATAACTTCCAACAGTAATCCCGGCTTCGATATGGATCTCAATTTTGCTTTGAACCCATTTATCAATCGTTTTAAATAAGAAGACTACCACTCCATAAAAATGTACTCAATAACAAATTCGCTTCTTGAGTATCAAAAAATCTATGTCCCAGCTAAATATCTGACTGCAAAATTGCAAACCCCCCAGTTGGATGAATATACTGAGCAAATTCAGCGCAGTCATATACATAAAACCCATCAAATCCGAGAGCTAAAAAAGCAAATCCACAGTTTGAAAATAAAAAATCACCAACTTATAGCCCGGCTGGAAGGAAAATTATAAAAATTTATCCTTTCATTTAAAAATTTATCCTTTCATTCAAAAATTATTCCTTTCATTTTATATAATTATGTAGTATAGCTACTAATTTTGCCTTTTCCAACATATTTGATTTTTATTTAAAAAAAACGTAAAACAAAAAATACACCCTTTTTGTAAGAACCAGTCCTCCCCAAATTACGCCTACGGACACCCACTTCACATACTTCAGGCCGAAGAGGAAACTTCGAGAAAAGAATGTTCAAGGAATGATAATATTAAACTAAACTTCAAACTTTTGAGAAACAAATAATTTTGATGTATTTAAATTTATAATTTGATCTCTTGGTTGTGTAAATTTTATTTGATTTATAAATGTAACTGTTGTATTTATATTCATTCAAGCCTGACTCAAAAAATTAGGTCTTTAATAACATCTGCTACCGATAAAAACTAACAACAATCTTTTGAAGAAATTTCATGAGGTTGAACGAAAATAGCTTTGGTTGATTAACAATTACCTCGCTTGATTAGCAGGGTAAAATAAAAGTTTTAGTTTTTTCCTCTCCAAAAAGGAGGATGGATATGTTCTGATTTCAAACTGAAATAGAAACATGAATTATTTTATTGTGCTCAAAAAGTGTGACGCCGCCGCCACCACAAAATAAATATGTTTTTATTCCTTTGCAAAAGGAAGGGAAATGCTATTGGAATAATTCGTATAACGTTTTAAGCATTGAGAAATAAAAACGGCTATTCTCGTTCAATGCGAATAATAACGATTCCTCTCGTAAAATACGAGCATACGAAACATTCTTCTCGTAAAATACCAATGCACGAATAGAGAATACGAAGTTAAGAAGTAACTTCTCATTTGATACAAAAAAGGGAGATTTCCTATCTGAGTATAAATAGAAGCTAAAAACTACGGGCATTCATTCCAACAAATTCTCGCAAAATACCAACACCACTCTCTCTTCAACCACCCCAACCATTCGCTATAAAATACTCTCCATTCTCAGTGAAAATTTCTATAACCTCACCCTTAAAATAAATATTGAGTCAAAAGGCAATTTGCAGTAAATCCATACTATCTCTTTTTCTAATAAATTAATTCTCAGCGAATTTTAGATTTACTTTCTAAGATAGAAAGTAGAAAGGACCCTTTATTCCTAGCAGGCGTTTTGTCCGACGCACATAGTTTTGCTAGCGTAATAAACATCACCATCACAATCACCTTATCCAACACCATCACGATCACCATCAACATAATCATCGCCACCACTATCTTCTTATCCAAAACCATCACCATCACCATCATAATCACCATCACTATCACCTCAACCAACACCATCATCATCAAACTCACCATCACTACCACCATAACTATCACCATCACTATCACTATCACCATCACCATCACCATCACCATCAACATCACCATCACCATCACCATCACCACCACCATCACCATCACCATCACCATCACCATCACCATCACCATCACCATCACCGTCACTATCACCATCACCATCACCTTCACCGTCACAATCACCTTATCCAACACCATCACGATCACCATCAACATAATCATCGCCACCACTATCTTCTTATCCAAAACCATCACCATCACCATCATAATCACCATCACTATCACCTCAACCGACACCATCATCATCAAACTCACCATCACTACCACCATAACTATCACCATCATCATCACCATCACCATCACCATCACCATCACCATCACCATCACCATCACCATCACCATCACCATCACCATCACCATCAACATCACCATCACCATCACCATCACCATCACCATCACCACCACCATCACCATCACCATCACCATCACCATCACCGTCACTATCACCATCACCATCACCCTCACCGTCACAATCACCTTATCCAACACCATCACGATCACCATCAACATAATCATCGCCACCACTATCTTCTTATCCAAAACCATCACCATCACCATCATAATCACCATCACTATCACCTCAACCAACACCACCATCATCAAACTCACCATCACTACCACCATAACTATCACCATCAACATCACCATCACTATCACCATCACCATCACCATCACCATCACCATCACCATCACCATCACCATCACCATCAACATCACCATCACCATCACCACAACCATCACCATCACCATCACCATCACCATCACCATCACCCTCACTATCACCATCACCATCACCCTCACCATCACCATCACCTTGTCCACAGCCATCATCATTATCAACACTATCAGCATCACCATCACCCTCATCATCACCATCACCATCGCTAGCACCATCCCTAACAACATCCATATCACCATCACCACCACCATAACCATCACCATCGCCGTCACTATCACCTTATCCAACACCATCACCATCACCACCACTATCACCTTATCCAACACCATCACGATCACCATCAACATCACCATCACCATCAAGATCTTCTTCTCCAACACCATCACCATCACCATCACCATCACCATCACCCTCACTATCACCATCACCATCACCATCACCCTCACCATCACCATCACCTTGTCAACAGCCATCATCATTATCAACACTATCAGAATCACCATAACCCTCATCATCACCATCACCATCGCTACCACCATCCCTAACAACATCCATATCACCATCACCACCCCCATAACCATCACCATCGCCGTCACTATCACCTTATCCAACACCATCACCATCACCACCACTATCACCTTATCCAACACCATCACGATCACCAACATCATCACCATCACCACCACCACCACCACCACCAAAATCATCACCATCACCATCACTATAACCTTATCCAATCCCATCACTATCATCATCATGTCAGCATGACTATCACCTTGTCCAACACCATCACCATCACCATCAACATCACAATCAACATAACCATCACCATCACCATCACCATCACCATCACCATCACCATCACTATCTTCTTAGCCAACACTATCACCATCACCATCACCATCACAATCAATTTATCCAGCAACATCACCATCACAATCACCTTATCCAACACCATCACGCTCACCATCAACATAATCATCGCCCTAACTATCTTCTTATCCAACACCATCACCATCACCATCATAATCACCATCACCATCACCTTAACCAACACCATCATCATCAAACTCACCATCACTACCACCATAACTATCACCATCACCATCACTATCACCGTCACCGTCACCATAACCATAACCATCACCATCACCATCACCATCACCATCACCATCACCATCACCATCACCATCACCATCACCATCACCATCACCATCACCATCACCATCACCATCACCATCACCATCACCATCACCATCACTATCACCTTATCCAGAGCCATCATCATCATCAATACTATCACCATCACCATCACCATCATCATCACCATCACCATCACCATCAACAATATCGTCACCTTCACCACCACCACGAAAATCATCCCCATCACCATAAATATCACCTTATCCAACCCCATCACCATCACCATCACGTCACCATGACTATCACATTGTGAAGCACCATCACTATCACCAAAAACATCACCATCACCATCACCATCACCATCACCATCATCATCACCAGTACCATCATCATCACCATAACCATCACCATCACCATCACCATCATTATCACCTTATTCAACACCATCAAAATAAACATCGCCATCACTATCTTCTTATCCAACACCATTACCATCACTATCACTACCACCTTATCCAGCAACATCAACATCAACATCACCATCACTACCACCATAACTATCACCATCACCAACACTTTCACCTTATCCAACCCCATCAACATCACCGTCACCATCACTTCACCATGACTATCACCTTGTCCAGCACCATCACCATCACCATCAACATCACCATCACCATCACCAACATCATCACCATAACTATCATTATCACCATCACCATCAAAATCACCTTATCCAACACCATCAACAAAACCATCGTGATCATTATCACCTTATCAAAGAACATCACCATCTCAATCACCCTATCCAACATCATCACGATCACCATCAACATAACCCTCGCCATCACTATCTTCATATCCAACAACATCATCATCACCATCACCATCACTATGACCTTATCCAACACCATCATTATCAAATTCGCCATCACTACCACCATAACTATCACCATCACCATCACTATCACCTTGTCCAACACCATCACCTTTACCATCAACATCACCATCACCAACTTCATCAACATCACCACCACCATGATCATCACCATAACCATCACTATCACCTTATCCAACCCCATCACCACCACTATCGCGTCACCCTGACTATCACCTTGTCCAGCACCATCACCATCACCAACAACATCACCATCACCAACATCATCACCATCGCCGCCACCATAATCATCACCATCACCATCACTATCACCTTATCAAGCCCCATCAGCATCATCGTCACCATCACTTCACCATTACTATCACCTTGTCCAGTACCATCACCATCACAATCACCATAACTATCACCATCACCATCACCATCATAATCACCTTATCCCACACTATCAACAAAACCATCGTGATCACTATCACCTTATCAAAGAACATCAACATCTCAATCACCCTATCCAACACCATCACGATCACCATCAACATAACCCTCGCCATCACTATCTTCATATCCAACACCATCATCATCACCATCACCATAACTATCACCTTATCCAGCACCATCATTATCAAATTCGCCATCACTACCACCATAACTTTCACCATCACCATCACTATCACCTTGTCCAACACCATAACCATTACCATCAACAGCACCATCACCAACATCATCAACATCACCACCACCATAATCATCACCATCACCATCACTATCACCTTATCCAACCCCATCACCACCAGTATCGCGTCACCATGACTATCACCTTGTCCATCACCATCACCATCACCATCAACATCACCATCACCAACATCATCACCATCGCCGCCACCATAATCATCACCATCACCATCACTATCACTTTATCAAGCCCCATCACCATCATCGTCACCATCACTTCACCATTACTATCACCTTGTCCAGTACCATCACCATCACCATCACCATCACCATCACCATCACCATCACCATCACCATCACCATCACCATCACCATCACCATCACCATCACCGTCACTATCACCATCACCATCACCCTCACCGTCACAATCACCTTATCCAACACCATCACGATCACCATCAACATAATCATCGCCACCACTATCTTCTTATCCAAAACCATCACCATCACCATCATAATCACCATCACTATCACCTCAACCAACACCATCATCATCAAACTCACCATCACTACCACCATAACTATCACCATCACCATCACCATCACTATCACTATCACCATCACCATCACCATCACCATCACCATCAACATCACCATCACCATCACCATCACCACCACCATCACCATCACCATCACCATCACCATCACCATCACCATCACCATCACCATCACCATCACCCTCACTATCACCATCACCATCACCCTCACCATCACCATCACCTTGTGCACAGCCATCATCATTATCAACACTATCAGCATCACCATCACCCTCATCATCACGATCACCATCGCTACCACCATCCCTAACAACATCCATATCACCATCACCACCACCATAACCATCACCATCGCCGTCACTATCACCTTATCCAACACCATCACCATCACCACCACTATCACCTTATCCAACACCATCACGATCACCATCAACATCACCATCACCATCAAGATCTTCTTCTCCATCACCATCACCATTACTATAAAAATCACCATCACCAACATCATCACCATCACCACCACCACTACCACCACCACCAAAATCATCACCATCACCACCACTATAACCTTATCCAATCCCATCACTATCATCATCATGTCAGTATGACTATCACCTTGTCCAACACCATCACCATCACCATCAACATCACCATCAACATAACCATCACCATCACCATCACCATCACCATCACTATCTTCTTATCCAACACCATCACCATCACCATCACCATCACTATCAATTTATCCAGCAACATCACCATCACAATCACCTTATCCAACACCATCACGCTCACCATCAACATAATCATCGCCACCACTATCTTCTTATCCAACACCATCACCATCACCATCATAATCACCATCACCAACACCTTAACCAACACCATCATCATCAAACTCACCATCACTACCACCATAACTATCACCATCACCATCACTATCACCGTCACCATCACCATAACCATCACCATCACCATCACCATCACCATCACGATCACCATCACCATCAACATCACTATCACCTTATCCAGAGCCATCATCATCATCAATACTATCAGCATCACCATCACTATCATCATCACCATCACCATCGCTACCACCATCCCTAACAACTTCAACATCACCATCATCACCACCATAACCATCACCATCGCCATCACTATCACCTTATCCAACACCATCACCATCACCATCACCATCACTATCACCTTATCCAACACCATCACGATCACTATCAACATCACCATCACCATCAAGATCTTCTTCTCCAACACCATCACCAATACCATCACCATCACTACCACCTTATCCATCACCATCACCATCACCATCACCATCACCATCACCATCACCATCACCATCACCAACACCATCACCATCACCATCACCATCACCAATATCATCACCATCACCACCACCACGAAAATCATCACCATCACCATCAATATCACCTTATCCAACCCCATCACCATCACCATCACGTCGCCATGACTATCACCTTGTCATCATAATGTCATGACTACCACCATCACCGCCATCATAATCATCACCATCACCATCACTATCACCTTATCCAACCCCATCACCATCACCATCACGTCACCATGACTATCACCTTGTCCAACACTATCACCATTACCAATAACATCACCATCTCCAACATCATCACCATCACCACCACCATAATCATCACCATCACCATCACTTTCACCTTATCCAACCCCATCAACATCACCGTCACCATCACTTCACCATGACTATCACCTTGTCAAGCACCATCACCATCACCATCAACATCACCATCACCATCACCAACATCATCACCATAACTATCACCATCACCATCACCATCAAAATCACCTTATCCAACACCATCAACAAAACCATCGTGATCATTATCACCTTATCAAAGAACATCACCATCTCAATCACCCTATCCAACACCATCACGATCACCATCAACATAATCCTCGCCATCACTATCTTCATATCCAACACCATCATCATCACCATCACCATCACTATCACCTTATCCAACACCATCTTTATCAAATTCGCCATCACTACCACCATAACTATCACCATCACCATCACTATCACCTTATCCAACCCCATCACCACCACTATCGCGTCACCCTGACTATCACCTTGTCCAGCACCATCACCATCACCATCAACATCACCATCACCAACATCTTCACCATCGCCGCCACCATAATCATCACCATCACCATCACTATCACCTTATCAAGCCCCATTACCATCATCGTCACCATCACTTCACCATTACTATCACCTTGTCCAGTACCATCACCATCACCCTCACCATAACTATCATCATCACCATCACCATCATAATCACCTTATCCCACACTATCAAGAAAACCATCGTGATCACTATCACCTTTCAAAGAACATCAACATCTCAATCACCCTATCCAACACCATCACGAACACCATCAACATAACCCTCGCCATCACTATCTTCTTGTCCAACACCATCATCATCACCATCACCATCACTATCACCTTATCCAACCCCATCACCATCATCATCACCATTACTATCACCATCACCATCACCATCATAATCACCTTATCCCACACTATCAACAAAACCATCGTGATCACTATCAACTTGTCAAAGAACATCACCATCACCACCACTATCGCGTCACCATGGCTATTAACTTGTCCAGCATTATCATCATCACCATCAACATCACCATCACCAACATCATCACCATCGCCGCCACCATAATCATCACCATCAACATCACTATCACCTTATCCAACCCCATCACCATCATCGTCATCATCACTTCACCATGACTATCACCTTGTCCAGCACCATCACCATCACCATCACCATCACCATCACCATCACCATCATCATCACCTTAACTATCACCATCACCATCACCATCATAATCACCTAATCCTACACTATCAACAAAACCATCGTGATCACTATCACCTTATCAAAGAACATCACCATCAACATCACCAGCATCATCACCATAACTATCACCGTCACCATCACATCATAATCACCTTATCCCACACTATCAACAAAACCATCGTGATCACTATCACCTTATCAAAGAACATCACCATCTCAATCACCCTATCCAACACCATCACGATCACCATCAACATAACCCTCGCCATCACTATCTTCATATCCAACACCATCATCATCACCATCACCATAACTATCACCTTATCCAGCACCATCATTATCAAATTCGCCATCACTACCACCATAACTTTCACCATCACCATCAGTATCACCTTGTCCAACACCATAACCATTACCATCAACAGCACCATCACCAACATCATCAACATCACCATCACCATAATCATCACCATCACCATCACTATCACCTTATCCAACCCCATCACCACCAGTATCGCGTCACCATGACTATCACCTTGTCCAGCACCATCACCATCACCATCAACATCACCATCACCAACATCATCACCATCGCCGCCACCATAATCATCACCATCACCATCACTATCACCTTATCCAACCCCACTACCATCATCGTCACCATCACTTCACCGTGACTATCACCTTGTCCAGCATCATCACCATCGCCATCATCATCACCATCACCATCATCATCAACATATATATCACCATCACCATCATCATCATAATCACCTTATCCAACACCATCAACAAAACCATCGTGATCACTATCACCTTATCAAAGAACATCACCATCTCAATCACCCTATCCAACACCATCACGATCACCATCAACATAACCCTCGTCATCTTCTTATCCAACACCATCAGCATCACCATCACCATCACTATCACCTTATCTAACACCATCATTATCAAATTCACCATCACTACCAGCTTAACTATCATCATCACCATCACTATCATCTTATCCAACACCATCACCATCACCATCACCATCACCATCACCAACATCATCACCACCTTAATCATCACCATTACCATCACTATGACCTTATCCAACCCCATCACCATCACCATCACGTCACCATGACTATCAGCTGATCCAGCACCATCACCATCACCATCAACATCACCATCACCATCACCATCATCATCACCATAACCATCACCATCACCATCACCATGACCATCACCATCACCATCACCATCACCATCACTATCACTATCACCTTATCCACACCATCGGCATAACCATCGCGATCACTGTCTCCTTATCCAACACCATCACCATCACCATCACCATCATCATCACCATCACCATCACCATCACCATCACCATCACCATCACCATCACCATCACCATCACTGTCACCATATCAAAGGACATCAACACCTCAATCACCCTGTCCAACACCATCACGATCACCATCAACAAAACCATCGCCATCACTATCTTCTTATCCAACACCATCACCATCACCATCACCATCACTGCCACCTTATCCAGCAACATCACCATCAACATCATCATCACCATCACCATCACTATCACCTTATCCTACACCATCATCACCTTATCACCATGTCCATCACCATCACCATTACCATAAACATCACCATCACCAACATCATCAACATCACCACCACCTTAATCATCACCATTACCATCACTATGACCTTATCCAACCCCATCACCATCACCATCACGTCACCATGACTATCACCTGATCCAGCACCATCACCATCACCATCAACATCATCATCACCATCACCATCATCATCACCATAACCATCACCATCACCATCACCATGACCATCACCATCACCATCACCATCACCATCACCATCACCATCACTATCACTATCACCTTATCCACACCATCGGCATAACCATCGCGATCACTGTCTCCTTATCCAACACCATCACCATCACCATCACCATCATCATCACCATCACCATCACCATCACCATCACCATCACCATCACCATCACCATCACCATCACCATCACCATCACCATCACTGTCACCATATCAAAGGACATCAACACCTCAATCACCCTGTCCAACACCATCACGATCACCATCAACATAACCATCGCCATCACTATCTTCTTATCCAACACCATCACCATCACCATCACCATCACTGCCACCTTATCCAGCAATATCACCATCACCATCACCATCACTGCCACCTTATCCAGCAACATCACCATCAACATCATCATCACCATCACCATCACTATCACCTTATCCTACACCATCATCATCAAGATCACCATCACCATCACCATCACTATCTCCTTATCAAGCCCCATCAGCATCATCGTCACCATCACTTCACCATTACTATCACCTTGTCCAGTACCATCACCATCACCATCACCATAACTATCACCATCACCATCACCATCATAATCACCTTATCCCACACTATCAACAAAACCATCGTGATCACTATCACCTTATCAAAGAACATCAACATCTCAATCACCCTATCCAACACCATCACGATCACCATCAACATAACCCTCGCCATCACTATCTTCATATCCAACACCATCATCATCACCATCACCATAACTATCACCTTATCCAGCACCATCATTATCAAATTCGCCATCACTACCACCATAACTTTCACCATCACCATCACTATCACCTTGTCCAACACCATAACCATTACCATCAACAGCACCATCACCAACATCATCAACATCACCACCACCATAATCATCACCATCACCATCACTATCACCTTATCCAACCCCATCACCACCAGTATCTCGTCACCATGACTATCACCTTGTCCAGCACCATCACCATCACCATCAACATCACCATCACCAACATCATCACCATCGCCGCCACCATAATCATCACCATCACCATCACTATCACCTTATCAAGTCCCATCACCATCATCGTCACCATCACTTCACCATTACTATCACCTTGTCCAGTACCATCACCATCACCATCACCATCACCATCACCATCACCATCACCATCACCATCACCATCACCATCACCATCACCATCACCATCACCATCACCATCACCATCACCATCACCATCACCATCACCATCACCATCACCATCACCGTCACTATCACCATCACCATCACCCTCACCGTCACAATCACCTTATCCAACACCATCACGATCACCATCAACATAATCATCGCCACCACTATCTTCTTATCCAAAACCATCACCATCACCAACATAATCACCATCACTATCACCTCAACCAACACCATCATCATCAAACTCACCATCACTACCACCATAACTATCACCATCACCATCACCATCACCATCACTATCACTATCACCATCACCATCACCATCACCATCACCATCACCATCAACATCACCATCACCATCACTACCACCATCACCATCACCATCACCATCACCATCACCATCACCATCACCATCACCATCACCATCACCATCACCCTCACTATCACCACCACCATCACCTTGTCCACAGCCATCATCATTATCAACACTATCAGCATCACCATCACCCTCATCATCACGATCACCATCGCTACCACCATCCCTAACAACATCCATATCACCATCACCACCACCATAACCATCACCATCGCCGTCACTATCACCTTATCCAATACCATCACCATCACCACCACTATCACCTTATCCAACACCATCACGATCACCATCAACATCACCATCACCATCAAGATCTTCTTCTCCAACACCATCACCATTACCATAAAAATCACCATCACCAACATCATCACCATCACCACCGCCACCACCACCACCACCAAAATCATCACCATCACCATCACTATAACCTTATCCAATCCCATCACTATCATCATCATGTCAGCATGACTATCACCTTGTCCAACACCATCACCATCACCATCAACATCACCATCAACATAACCATCACCATCACCATCACCATCACCATCACCATCACCATCACTATCTTCTTATCCAACACCATCACCATCACCATCACCATCACTATCAATTTATCCAGCAACATCACCATCACAATCACCTTATCCAACACCATCACGCTCACCATCAACATAATCATCGCCACCACTATCTTCTTATCCAACACCATCACCATCACTGCCACCTTATCCAGCAATATCACCATCACCATCACCATCACTGCCACCTTATCCAGCAACATCACCATCAACATCATCATCACCATCACCATCACTATCACCTTATCCTACACCATCATCATCAAAGTCGCCATCACTACCACCATAACTATCACCACCACCGTCACTATCATCTTATCCAACACCATCACCATCAAGATCACCATCACCATCACCATCACTATCACCTTATCAAGCCCCATCAGCATCATCGTCACCATCACTTCACCATTACTATCACCTTGTCCAGTACCATCACCATCACCATCACCATAACTATCACCATCACCATCACCATCATAATCACCTTATCCCACACTATCAACAAAACCATCGTGATCACTATCACCTTATCAAAGAACATCAACATCTCAATCACCCTATCCAACACCATCACGATCACCATCAACATAACCCTCGCCATCACTATCTTCATATCCAACACCATCATCATCACCATCACCATAACTATCACCTTATCCAGCACCATCATTATCAAATTCGCCATCACTACCACCATAACTTTCACCATCACCATCACTATCACCTTGTCCAACACCATAACCATTACCATCAATAGCACCATCACCAACATCATCAACATCACCGCCACCATAATCATCACCATCACCATCACTATCACCTTATCCAACCCATCACCACCAGTATCTCGTCACCATGACTATCACCTTGTCCAGCACCATCACCATCACCATCAACATCACCATCACCAACATCATCACCATCGCCGCCACCATAATCATCACCATCACCATCACTATCACCTTATCAAGCCCCATCACCATCATCGTCACCATCACTTCACCATTACTATCACCTTGTCCAGTACCATCACCATCACCATCACCATCACCATCACCATCACCATCACCATCACCATCACCATCACCATCACCATCACCGTCACTATCACCATCACCATCACCCTCACCGTCACAATCACCTTATCCAACACCATCACGATCACCATCAACATAATCATCGCCACCCACTCTCTTCTTATCCAAAACCATCACCATCACCATCATAATCACCATCACTATCACCTCAACCAACACCATCATCATCAAACTCACCATCACTACCACCATAACTATCACCATCACCATCACCATCACTATCACTATCACCATCACCATCACCATCACCATCACCATCACCATCACCATCAACATCACCATCACCATCACCACCACCATCACCATCACCATCACCATCACCATCACCATCACCATCACCATCACCATCACCCTCACTATCACCATCACCATCACCTTGTCCACAGCCATCATCATTATCAACACTATCAGCATCACCATCACCCTCATCATCACGATCACCATCGCTACCACCATCCCTAACAACATCCATATCACCATCACCACCACCATAACCATCACCATCGCCGTCACTATCACCTTATCCAACACCATCACCATCACCACCATTATCACCTTATCCAACACCATCACGATCACCATCAACATCACCATCACCATCAAGATCTTCTTCTCCAACACCATCACCATTACCATAAAAATCACCATCACCAACATCATCACCATCACCACCACCACCACCACCACCAAAATCATCACCTTCACCATCACTATAACCATATCCAATCCCATCACTATCATCATCATGTCAGCATGACTATCACCTTGTCCAACACCATCACCATCACCATCAACATCACCATCAACATAACCATCACCATCACCATCACCATCACCATCACTATCTTCTTATCCAACACCATCACCATCACCATCACCATCACTATCAATTTATCCAGCAACATCACCATCACAATCACCTTATCCAACACCATCACGCTCACCATCAACATAATCATCGCCACCACTATCTTCTTATCCAACACCATCACCATCACCATCATAATCACCATCACCAACACCTTAACCAACACCATCATCATCAAACTCACCATCACTACCACCATAACTATCACCATCACCATCACTATCACCGTCACCATCACCATAACCATCACCATCACCATCACCATCACCATCACCATCACCATCACCATCACCATCACTATCACCTTATCCAGAGCCATCTTCATCATCAATACTATCAGCATCACCATCACCATCATCATCACCATCACCATCGCTACCACCATCCCTAACAACATCAACATCAACATCACCACCACCATAAACCATCACCATCGCCATCACTATCACCTTATCCAACACCATCACCATCACCATCACTATCACCTTATCCAACACCATCACGATCACTATCAACATCACCATCACCATCAAGATCTTCTTCTCCAACACCATCACCAATACCATCACCATCACTACCACCTTATCCATCACCATCACCATCACCATCACCATCACCATCACCATCACCATCACCATCACCATCACCATCACCAACACCATCACCATCACCATCACCATCACCATCACCATCACCATCACCATCACCATCACCATCACCAATATCATCACCATCACCACCACCACGAAAATCATCACCATCACCATCAATATCACCTTATCCAACCCCATCACCATCACCATCACGTCGCCATGACTATCACCTTGTGCAATACCTTGTGCAACACCATCACCACTACCATCAACATCACCATCACCAACATCATCACCATCACCGCCATCATAATCATCACCATCACCATCACTATCACCTTATCCAACACCATCACGATCACCATCAACATAACCCTCGCCATCACTATCTTCATATCCAACACCATCACCATCACTTCACCATGACTATCACCTTGTCCAACACCATCACCATTACCAATAACATCACCATCTCCAACATCATCACCATCACCACCACCATAATCATCACCATCACCATCACTTTCACCTTATCCAACCCCATCAACATCACCGTCACCATCACTTCACCATGACTATCACCTTGTCAAGCACCATCACCATCACCATCAACATCACCATCACCATCACCAACATTATCACCATAACTATCACCATCACCATCACCATCAAAATCACCTTATCCAACACCATCAACAAAACCATCGTGATCATTATCACCTTATCAAAGAACATCACCATCTCAATCACCCTATCCAACACCATCACGATCACCATCAACATAACCCTCGCCATCACTATCTTCATATCCAACACCATCATCATCACCATCACCATCACTATCACCTTATCCAACACCATCTTTATCAAATTCGCCATCACTACCACCATAACTATCACCATCACCATCACTATCACCTTGTCCAACACCATCACCTTTACCATCAACATCACCATCACCAACATCATCAACATCACCACCACCATAATCATCACCATAACCATCACTATCACCTTATCCAACCCCATCACCACCACTATCGCGTCACCCTGACTATCACCTTGTCCAGCACCATCACCATCACCATCAACATCACCATCACCAACATCATCACCATCGCCGCCACCATAATCATCACCATCACCATCACTATCACCTTATCAAGCCCCATTACCATCATCGTCACCATCACTTCACCATTACTATCACCTTGTCCAGCACCATCACCATCACCATCACCATAACTATCACCATCACCATCACCATCATAATCACCTTATCCCACACTATCAAGAAAACCATCGTGATCACTATCACCTTATCAAAGAACATCAACATCTCAATCACCCTATCCAACACCATCACGAACACCATCAACATAACCCTCGCCATCACTATCTTCTTGTCCAACACCATCATCATCACCATCACCATCACTATCACCTTATCCAACCCCATCACCATCATCGTCACCATCACTTCACCATGACTATCACCTTGTCCAGCACCATCACCATCACCATCACCATCACCATCACCATCATCATCACCATTACTATCACCATCACCATCATCATCATAATCACCTTATCCCACACTATCAACAAAACCATCGTGATCACTATCAACTTGTCAAAGAACATCACCATCACCACCACTATCGCGTCACCATGGCTATTAACTTGTCCAGCATTATCATCATCACCATCAACATCACCATCACCAACATCATCACCATCGCCGCCACCATAATCATCACCATCAACATCACTATCACCTTATCCAACCCCATCACCATCATCGTCATCATCACTTCACCATGACTATCACCTTGTCCAGCACCATCAACATCACCATCACCATCACCATCACCATCACCATCACCAGCATCATCACCATAACTATCACCGTCACCATCACATCATAATCACCTTATCCCACACTATCAACAAAACCATCGTGATCACTATCACCTTATCAAAGAACATCACCATCTCAATCACCCTATCCAACACCATCACGATCACCTTCAACATAACCCTCGCCATCACTATCTTCATATCCAACACCATCATCATCACCATCACGATAACTATCACCTTATCCAACACCATCATCATCATCATCACCATCACTATCACCTTATCCAACCCCATCACCATCATCGTCACCATCACTTCACCATGACTATCACCTTGTCCAGCACCATCACCATCACCATCACCATCACCATCACCATCACCATCATCATCACCATTACTATCACCATCACCATCACCATCATAATCACCTTATCCCACACTATCAACAAAACCATCGTGATCACTATCAACTTGTCAAAGAACATCACCATCACCATCACCAGCATCATCACCATAACTATCACCGTCACCATCACATCATAATCACCTTATCCCACACTATCAACAAAACCATCGTGATCACTATCACCTTATCAAAGAACATCACCATCTCAATCACCCTATCCAACACCATCACGATCACCATCAACATAACCCTCGCCATCACTATCTTCATATCCAACACCATCATCATCACCATCACCATAACTATCACCTTATCCAGCACCATCATTATCAAATTCGCCATCACTACCACCATAACTTTCACCATCACCATCAGTATCACCTTGTCCGACACCATCATCATCACCATCACCATCACTATCACCTTATCCAACCCCATCACCATCATCGTCACCATCACTTCACCATGACTATCACCTTGTCCAGCACCATCACCATCACCATCACCATCACCATCATCATCACCATTACTATCACCATCACCATCACCATCATAATCACCTTATCCCACACTATCAACAAAACCATCGTGATCACTATCAACTTGTCAAAGAACATCACCATCACCACCACTATCGCGTCACCATGGCTATTAACTTGTCCAGCATTATCATCATCACCATCAATATCACCATTACCAACATCATCACCATCGCCGCCACCATAATCATCACCATCAACATCACTATCACCTTATCCAACCCCATCACCATCATCGTCATCATCACTTCACCATGACTATCACCTTGTCCAGCAACATCACCATCACCATCACCATCACCATCATCATCACCTTAACTATCACCATCACCATCACCATCATAATCACCTAATCCTACACTATCAACAAAACCATCGTGATCACTATCACCTTATCAAAGAACATCACCATCACCATCACCAGCATCATCACCATAACTGACACCGTCACCATCACATCATAATCACCTTATCTCACACTATCAACAAAACCATCGTGATCACTATCACCTTATCAAAGAACATCACCATCTCAATCACCCTATCCAACACCATCACGATCACCATCAACATAACCCTCGCCATCACTATCTTCATATCCAACACCATCATCATCATCATCACCATAACTATCACCTTATCCAGCACCATCATTATCAAATTCGCCATCACTACCACCATAACTTTCACCATCACCATGACTATCACCTTGTCCAGCACCATCACCATCACCATCAACATCACCATCACCAACATCATCACCATCGCCGCCACCATAATCATCACCATCACCATCACTATCACCTTATCCAACCCCATTACCATCATCGTCACCATCACTTCACCATGACTATCACCTTGTCCAGCATCATCACCATCGCCATCATCATCACCATCACCATCATCATCAACATATATATCACCATCACCATCACCATCATAATCACCTTATCCAACACCATCAACAAAACCATCGTGATCACTGTCACCTTATCAAAGAACATCACCATCTCAATCACCCTATCCAACACCATCACGATCACCATCAACGTAACCCTCGTCATCTTCTTATCCAACACCATCAGCATCACCATCACCATCACTATCACCTTATCTAACACCATCATTATCAAATTCACCATCACTACCAGCTTAACTATCATCATCACCATCACTATCATCTTATCCAACACCATCACCATCACCATCACCATCACCATCACCAACATCATCACCATCATCACCATCAACACCACCATAATCATCACCATCACCATGACTATTGCCTTATCCAACCCCATCACCATCACCATCACGTCACCATGACTATCACCATTTCCATCACCATCACCACTACCATAAACATCACCATCACCAACATCATCAACATCACCACCACCTTAATCATCACCATTACCATAACTATGACCTTATCCAACCCCATCACCATCACCATCACGTCACAATGACTATCACCTGATCCAGCACCATCACCATCAACATCACCATCACCATCACCATCATCATCACCATCACCATCACCATCACCATCACCATCACTATCACTATCACCTTATCCACACCATCGGCATAACCATCGCGATCACTGTCTCCTTATCCAACACCATCACCATCATCATCACCATCATCATCACCATCACCATCACCATCACCATCACCATCACCATCACTGTCACCATATCAAAGGACATCAACACCTCAATCACCCTGTCCAACACCATCACGATCACCATCAACATAACCATCGCCATCACTATCTTCTTATCCAACACCATCACCATCAACATCATCATCACCATCACCATCACTATCACCTTATCCTACACCATCATCAACAAAGTCGCCATCCCTACCACCATAACTATCACCATCACCGTCACTATCATCTTATCCAACACCATCACCATCAAGATCACCATCACCATCACCACCACCATCACCATCACCATCACCATCACCCTCAACATCACCATCACCATCGCTATCACCTTATCCAACACCAGCACCATCACCATCGTTATCACCTTATCCAACACCATCACGATCACCATCAACATCACCATCACCATCAAGGTATTCTTATCCAACACCATCACCAACACCATCACCATCACTACCGCCTTATCCAGCAACATCATCATCACCATCACCATCACTATCACCTTATCCAACACCATCATCAACATATTCATCATACCTATCACCATCATCATCACTATAATGTTCTCCACAGCCATCATTATCATCATCACCATCACCATCACTATCACTTTATCCAACACCATCATCATCATCAAACTCGCCATCACTACCACTATAACTATCACCATCACCATCACTATCATCTTAACCAGCACCATCAGCATCAAGATCAGCATCACCATCACCACCACCATCACCATCACCATCACCATCACCATCACCATCACCATCACCATCGCCCTCATCATCACCATCACCATCGCTGTCATCTTATCCAACACCATCACCATCAAGATCACCATCACCATCACCACCACCATCACCATCACCATCACCATCACCCTCAACATCACCATCACTATCGCTATCACCTTATCCAACACCAGCACCATCACCATCGTTATCACCTTATCCAACACCATCACGATCACCATCAACATCACCATCACCATCAAGGTATTCTTATCCAACACCATCACCAACACCATCACCATCACTACCGCCTTATCCAGCAACATCATCATCACCATCACCATCACTATCACCTTATCCAACACCATCATCAACATATTCATCATACCTATCACCATCATCATCACTATAATGTTCTCCACAGCCATCATTATCATCATCACCATCACCATCACTATCACTTTATCCAACACCATCATCATCATCAAACTCGCCATCACTACCACTATAACTATCACCATCACCATCACTATCATCTTAACCAGCACCATCAGCATCAAGATCAGCATCACCATCACCATCACCATCACCATCACCATCACCATCACCATCACCATCACCATCGCCCTCATCATCACCATCACCATCGCTGTCACCTTATCCAACACCATCACCATCACCTTATCCAGCAACATCATCAAAACCATCACCATCACTATCACCTTATCCAACACCATCATTATCAAATTCACCATCACCATGGCCATCAACTTATCCACAGCCATCATCGTTATCATCACCATCACCATCACTATCAACTTATCCAACACCAACATCATCAAACTCGCCATCACTACCACTATAATTATCACCATCAGCATCACTATCATCTTATCCAACACCCTCACCATTCAGATCACCATCACAATCACCACCATCATCACCATCACGCTCATCATCACCATCACCATCGCTATCACCTTATCCAACACCATCACGATCACCATCAACATCACATCACCATCACCATCAAGATCTTCTTATCCAACACCATCACCAACACCATCACCATCACTACCACCTTATCCAGCAACATCATCATCACCATCACCATCACCATCACCATCACCATCACCATCACTATCACCATATCAAAGGACATCACCATCTCAATCACCCTATCCAACACCATCACGATCACCATCAACATAACCATCGCCATCACTATCTTCTTATCCAACACCATCACCATCAACATCATCATCACCATCACCATCACTATCACCTTATCCTACACCATCATCAACAAAGTCGCCATCCCTACCACCATAACTATCACCATCACCGTCACTATCATCTTATCCAACACCATCACCATCAAGATCACCATCACCATCACCACCACCATCACCATCACCATCACCATCACCCTCAACATCACCATCACCATCGCTATCACCTTATCCAACACCAGCACCATCACCATCGTTATCACCTTATCCAACACCATCACGATCACCATCAACATCACCATCACCATCAAGGTATTCTTATCCAACACCATCACCAACACCATCACCATCACTACCGCCTTATCCAGCAACATCATCATCACCATCACCATCACTATCACCTTATCCAACACCATCATCAACATATTCATCATACCTATCACCATCATCATCACTATAATGTTCTCCACAGCCATCATTATCATCATCACCATCACCATCACTATCACTTTATCCAACACCATCATCATCATCAAACTCGCCATCACTACCACTATAACTATCACCATCACCATCACTATCATCTTAACCAGCACCATCAGCATCAAGATCAGCATCACCATCACCACCACCATCACCATCACCATCACCATCACCATCACCATCACCATCACCATCACCATCGCCCTCATCATCACCATCACCATCGCTGTCACCTTATCCAACACCATCACCATCACCTTATCCAGCAACATCATCAAAACCATCACCATCACTATCACCTTATCCAACACCATCATCATCAAATTCACCATCACCATCGCCATCACCTTATCCACAGCCATCATCGTTATCATCACCATCACCATCACTATCAACTTATCCAACACCAACATCATCAAACTCGCCATCACTACCACTATAATTATCACCATCAGCATCACTATCATCTTATCCAACACCCTCACCATTCAGATCACCATCACAATCACCACCATCATCACCATCACGCTCATCATCACCATCACCATCGCTATCACCTTATCCAACACCATCACGATCACCATCAACATCACATCACCATCACCATCAAGATCTTCTTATCCAACACCATCACCAACACCATCACCATCACTACCACCTTATCCAGCAACATCATCATCACCATCACCATCACCATCACCATCACTATCACCATATCAAAGGACATCACCATCTCAATCACCCTATCCAACACCATCACGATCACCATCAACATAACCATCGCCATCACTATCTTCTTATCCAACACCATCACCATCACCATCACTGCCACCTTATCCAGCAACATCACCATCAACATCACCATCACAATCGCCTTATCCAACACCATCACGATCACCGTCAACATCATCATCACCATCACCATCACTATCACCTTATCCTACACCATCATCATCCAGATCACTATCACCATCACCACCACCATCACCATCACCCTCAACATCACCATCACCATCGCTATCACATTATCCAACACCAGCACCATCACCATCGTTATCACCTTATCCAACACCATCACGATCACCATCAACATCACCATCACCATCAAGGTATTCTTATCCAACACCATCACCAACACCATCACCATCACTACCGCCTTATCCAGCAACATCATCATCATCATCACCATCGCTATCACCATATCCAATACCATCATCAACATATTCATCATCACTATCACCATCATCATCACTATAATGTTCTCCACAGCCATCATCATCATCATCACCATCACCATCACTATCACTTTATCCAACACCATCATCATCATCAAACTCGCCATCACTACCACTATAACCATCACCATCACTATCATCTTAACCAGCACCATCAGCATCAAGATCAGCATCACCATCACCACCACCATCACCATCACCATCACCATCACCATCACCATCACCATCACCATCACCATCACCATCGCCCTCATCATCACCATCACCATCGCTGTCACCTTATCCAACACCATCACCATCACCTTATCCAGCAACATCATCAAAACCATCACCATCACTATCACCTTATCCAACACCATCATCATCAAATTCACCATCACCATCGCCATCACCTTATCCACAGCCATCATCGTTATCATCACCATCACCATCACTATCAACTTATCCAACACCAACATCATCAAACTCGCCATCACTACCACTATAATTATCACCATCACCATCACTATCATCTTATCTAACACCATCACCATTCAGATCACCATCACAATCACTACCATCATCACCATCACGCTCATCATCACCATCACCATCGCTATCACCTTATCCAACACCATCACGATCACCATCAACATCACATCACCATCACCATCAAGATCTTCTTATCCAAAACCATCACCAACACCATCGCCATCACCATTACCATCACCATCACCATCACCGATATTATCACCATCACCACCACCATAATCATTACCATCACCATCACTATCACCTTGTCCAGCACCATCACCATCACCATCAACATCACCATCACGATCACCATCACCATCATCATCACCATAACCATCACCATCACCATCACCATCTCAATCACCCTATCCAACACCATCACGATCACTGTCAACATAAACATCACCATCACTATCTTCCTAACCAACACCGCTACCATCATCATCACTATCACTACCACCTTATCCAGCAACATCATCATCACTACCACTATAACTATCACCATCACCAACATCATCACCATCACCACCACCACCACCATAATCATCACCATCAACATCACTATCGCCTTATCCAACCCCATCAATATCACCATCACGTCACCATGACTATCACCTTGCCCAACACGATCACCATTACCATCAACATCACCATCACAAACATCATCACCATCACCACCACCATAATCATCACCATCACCATCACTATCACCCTATCCAAACCCATCACCATCACCATCACGTCACCATGACTATCACCTTGTCCAGCAGCATCACTATCACCATCAACATCACCATCACCATCATCATCACCATAACCTTATCCACAGCCACCATCATCATCATCACCATCACTATCACCTTATCCAACACCATAATCATCACACTCGCCATCACTACCACCATAACTATCACCACCACCATCACTATCACCTCATCCAACACCATCATCATCAAGATCACCATCACCATCACCACCACCATCACCATCGCTATCACCTTGTCCAGCAACATCATCATCATCACCATCACCATCACCATTACCATCACCATCACCATTACGATCACAATCACCATCACCATCACCATCACCAACATCATCACCATCACCACCACCATAATCATCACCATCACTATCACCTTATCCAACCCCATCAAAATCACCATCACGTCGCCATGACTATCACCTTGTGCAACGCCATCATCACTACCATCAACATCACCATCACCAACATCATCACCATCACCGCCACCATAATCATCACCATCAGCATCAATAACACCTTCTCCAACCCCATCACCATCACCATCAACATCACCATCACCATCAAGATCTTCTTATCCAACACCATCACCAACACCATCACCATCACTACCACCTTATCCAGCAACATCATCATCATCATCACCATTACAATCACCATCACCATCACCATCACCATCACCATCACCATCACCATCACCATCACCAACATCATCACCATCACCACCACCATAATCATCACCATCACTATCACCTTATCCAACCCCATCACCATCACCATCACGTCGCTATGCCTATCACCTTGTGGAACACCATCATCGCTACCATCAACATCACCATCACCAACATCATCACCATCACCGTCACCATAATCATCCCCATCAGCATCACCATCACCTTCTCCAACCCCACCACCATCACTATCATCTCATCCAACACCATCACCATCACCATCACCATTACCATCACCATCCCCATTACAATCACCATCACCATCACCATCACCATCACCATCACCAACATCATCACCATCACCACCACCATAATCATCACCATCACTATCCCCTTATCCAACCCCATCACCATCACGTCGCTATGCCTATCACCTTGTGCAACACCATCATCGCTACCATCAACATCACCATCACCAACATCATCACCATCACCGCCACCATAATCATCACCATCAGCATCACCATCACCTTCTCCAACCCCATCACCATCACCATCATGTCACCATGACTATCACCTTGTCCACCACCATCACCATCACCATATCCATCACCATCACCTTCAACATCAATATCACCTTACCCAGCACTATCAACTTGACCATCGCGATCATTATCTTCTTATCCAACAGCATCACCATTACCATCACCATCACTAGCACCTATTCGAAGAACATCACCATCACCGCCACCATAATCATCACCATCAGCATCAATAACACCTTCTCCAACCCCATCACCATCACCATCAACATCACCATCACCATCAAGATCTTCTTATCCAACACCATCACCAACACCATCACCATCACTACCACCTTATCCAGCAACATCATCATCATCATCACCATTACAATCACCATCACCATCACCATCACCATCACCATCACCATCACCATCACCATCACCAACATCATCACCATCACCACCACCATAATCATCACCATCACTATCACCTTATCCAACCCCATCACCATCACCATCACGTCGCTATGCCTATCACCTTGTGGAACACCATCATCGCTACCATCAACATCACCATCACCAACATCATCACCATCACCGTCACCATAATCATCCCCATCAGCATCACCATCACCTTCTCCAACCCCACCACCATCACTATCATCTCATCCAACACCATCACCATCACCATCACCATTACCATCACCATCCCCATTACAATCACCATCACCATCACCATCACCATCACCATCACCAACATCATCACCATCACCACCACCATAATCATCACCATCACTATCCCCTTATCCAACCCCATCACCATCACGTCGCTATGCCTATCACCTTGTGCAACACCATCATCGCTACCATCAACATCACCATCACCAACATCATCACCATCACCGCCACCATAATCATCACCATCAGCATCACCATCACCTTCTCCAACCCCATCACCATCACCATCATGTCACCATGACTATCACCTTGTCCACCACCATCACCATCACCATATCCATCACCATCACCGTCAACATCAATATCACCTTACCCAGCACTATCAACTTGACCATCGCGATCATTATCTTCTTATCCAACAGCATCACCATTACCATCACCATCACTAGCACCTATTCGAAGAACATCACCATCTCAATCACCCTATCCAACACCATCACGATCACCATCAACATAAACATCGCCATCACTATGATCTTATCCAACACCGTTACAATCATCATTACTATCACTACCACCTTATCCAGCAACATCATCATCAACATCACCATCACTAACACCAGATCTATCACAATCAATAACATCATCAACATCACCATCACCATAATCATCACCATCACCATCACTATCACCTTATCCAATACCATCACCATCACCATCACATCACCATGACTATCACATTGCCCAACACCATCATCATTACCATCACTTATCACCAACGTCATCACCATCACCACCACCATAATCGTCAACATCACCATCACCATCACTATCATCTTATCCAACCCCATCACCATCACCATCACTTCACCATGACTATCACCTTGTCCAGCAGCATCACCATCACCATCAACATCACCATCATCATCACCATCACCATCATCATCACGATAACCATCATCATCACCATCACCATCACTATCACCTTATCCAACACCATCAACATAACCATCGCGATCACTATCTTCTTATCCAACACCATCACGATCACCATCAACATAATCCTCGCCATCACAAACTTCTTATCCAACACCATCATCATCACCATCACCATCACTATCACCTTATCCAACACAATCATCATCAAATTCGCTATCACTACCACCATAAATATCACCATCACCATCACTATCATCTTATCCAACACCATCACCATCACCATCACCATCACCACCACCACCACCATCACCATCACCAACATCATCACCATCACCACCACCATAATAATCACCATCACCAACACTATCGACTTATCCAACCCCATCACCATCACCATCACGTCACCATGACTATTACCTTGTCCAGCACCATCACCATTATCATCAACATCACCATCACCAACAACATCAACATCACCATCAACATAATCATGACCATCACCATCACTATCATCTTATCCAACACCATCACCATCACCATCACCATCACCACCACCACCACCATCACCATCACCAACATCATCACCATCACCACCACCATAATAATCACCATCACCAACACTATCGACTTATCCAACCCCATCACCATCACCATCACGTCACCATGACTATTACCTTGTCCAGCACCATCACCATTATCATCAACATCACCATCACCAACAACATCAACATCACCATCAACATAATCATGACCATCACCATCACTATCATCTTATCCAACACCATCACCATCACCATCACGTCACCATGATTATCACCTTGTCCAGCACCATCACCATCACAATCAACATCACCATCACGATCACCATCACCATCAACATCACTAAAACCATTACCATCACCACCACCAACACTATCACCTTTCCCAACACCATCAACATAACCATCGCAATAACTATCTTCTTATCCAACACCATCACCATCACCGTCACCATCACCATCACCATCACCAACACTATCACTATATCGAAGAACATCACCATCTCAATCATCCTATCCAACACCATCACGATCACCAACAATATAACCATCGCCATCACTATCTTCTTTTCCAACACCATCACCATCACCATCACCATCACTGCGAACTTATCCAGCAACATCACCATCAACAGCATCATCACAATCGCCGTATCCAACACCATCACGATCACCATCAAGATCACCATCACCATCACCACCACCATAATCATCACCATTACCAACACTATCGCCTTGTCCAACCCCATCACCATCACCATCACGTCACCATGACTATCACCTTGTCCAACACCATAACCATCACCATCACCATCTCAATCACCCTTTCCAACACCATCACGATCACTGTCAACATAAACATCGCCATCACTATCTTCTTATCCAACACCGTTACCATCACCATCACTATCACTACCACCTTATCCTGCAACATCATCATCACTACCACTTTAACTATCGCCATCACCAACATCATCACCATTACCATCAACATCACCATTACCATCACGATCACCATCACCATCACCAACATCGTCACCATCACTAACATCGTCACCATCACCACTACCATAATCATCACCATCACTATCACCTTATCCAACCCCATCACCATCTCCATCACGTCGCCATGATTATCACCTTGTGCAACACCATCATCACTACCATCAACATCACCATCACCAACATCATCACCATCACCGCCACCATAATCATCACCATCAGCATCACTATCACCTTCTCCAACCCCATCACCATCACCATCACGTCACCATGACTATCACCTTGTCCAGCACCATCACCATCACCATAACCATCACCACTAACATCAACATCAATATCACCTTATCCAACACCATCAACTTAACCATCACGTCACCATGACTATCACCTTGTCCAGCACCATCACCATCACCATAAACCATCCCACCAACATAATCATCACTACCACTATAACTATCACCATCACCAACATCATCACCATCACCACCACCATAATCATCACCATCACCATCACTATCACCTTGCCCAACACCATCACCATTACCATCAATATCACCATCACCAGCATCATCACCATCACCACCACCATATTCATCACCATAACGTTATCCACAGCCGTCATCATCATCATCACCATCACAATCACTATCACCTTATCCAACACCATAATCATCAAACTCGCGATCACCACCACCATCACCATCATCTCATCCAACACCATCACCATCAAGATCATCATTACCATCACCACCACCATCACCATCACCATCACCCTCATCATCACCAACACCATCGCTATCACCTTATCTAGCACCACCACGATCACCATCAACATCACCATCACCATCAAGATCTTCTTATCCAACACCATCACCATCACTACCACCTTATCCAGCAACATAATCATCACCATCACCATCACCATCACCATCACCATCACCATCACCATTACCATCAACATCACCATTACCATCACGATCACCATCACCATCACCAACATCGTCACCATCACTAACATCGTCACCATCACCACTACCATAATCATCACCATCACTATCACCTTATCCAACCCCATCACCATCTCCATCACGTCGCCATGATTATCACCTTGTGCAACACCATCATCACTACCATCAACATCACTATCACCAACATCATCACCATCACCGCCACCATAATCATCACCATCAGCATCACTATCACCTTCTCCAACCCCATCACCATCACCATCACGTCACCATGACTATCACCTTGTCCAGCACCATCACCATCACCATAACCTTCACCACTAACATCAACATCAATATCACCTTATCCAACACCATCAACTTAACCATCACGTCACCATGACTATCACCTTGTCCAGCACCATCACCATCACCATAACCATCACCACCAACATAATCATCACTACCACTATAACTATCACCATCACCAACATCATCACCATCACCACCACCATAATCATCACCATCACCATCACTATCACCTTGCCCAACACCATCACCATTACCATCAATATCACCATCACCAGCATCGTCACCATCACCACCACCATATTCATCACTATCGCCATCACTATCACCTTATCCAACCCCATCATCATCATCAAACTCGCCATCACTACCACTATAACTATCACCATCACCATCACTATCATCTTAACCAGCACCATCAGCATCAAGATCACCATCACCATCACCACCACCATCACCATCACCATCACCATCACCATCACCATCACCATCGCCCTCATCATCACCATCACCATCGCTGTCACCTTATCCAACACCATCACCATCACCTTATCCAGCAAAATCATCAAAACCATCACCATCACTATCACCTTATCCAACACCATCATCATCAAATTCACCATCACCATCGCCATCACCTTATCCACAGCCATCATCGTTATCATCACCATCACCATCACTATCAATTTATCCAACACCAACATCATTAAAATCGCCATCACTACCACTATAATTATCACCATCAGCATCACTATCATCTTATCCAACACCATCACCATTCAGATCACCATCACAATCACCACCATCATCACCATCTCGCTCATCATCACCATCACCATCGCTATCACCTTATCCAACACCATCACGATCACCATCAACATCACATCACCATCACCATCAAGATCTTCTTATCCAACACCATCACCAACATCATCACCATCACTACCACCTTATCCAGCAACATCATCATCACCATCACCATCACCATCACCATTACCATCACCATCACCATCACCATCACCATCACTATCACCATATCAAAGGACATCACCATCTCAATCACCCTATCCAACACCATCACGATCACCATCAACATAACCATCGCCATCACTATCTTCTTATCCAACACCATCACCATCACCATCACTGCCACCTTATCCAGCAACATCACCATCAACATCACCATCACTATCACCTTATCCTACACCATCATCATCAAAGTCGCCATCACTACCACCATAACTATCACCATCACCGTCACTATCAACTTATCCAACACCATCACCATCAAGATCACCATCACCATCACCACCACCATCACCATCACCATCACCATCACCCTCAACATCACCATCACCATCGCTATCACAGTATCCAACACCAGCACCATCACCATCGTTATCACCTTATCCAACACCATCACGATCACCATCAACATCACCATCACCATCAAGGTATTCTTATCCAACACCATCACCAACACCATCACCATCACTACCGCCTTATCCAGCAACATCATCATCACCATCACCATCACTATCACCTTATCCAACACCATCATCAACATATTCATCATCACTATCACCATCATCATCACTATAATGTTCTCCACAGCCATCATCATCATCATCACCATCACCATCACTATCACTTTATCCAACACCATTATCATCATCAAACTCGTCATCACTACCACTATAACTATCACCATCACCATCACTATCACCATCACCATCACCATCACCATCACCACCACCATCACCATCACCATCACCATCACCCTCAACATCACCATCACCATCGCTATCACAGTATCCAACACCAGCACCATCACCATCGTTATCACCTTATCCAACACCATCACGATCACCACCACATCACCATCACCATCAAGGTATTCTTATCCAACACCATCACCAACACCATCACCATCACTACCGCCTTATCCAGCAACATCATCATCACCATCACCATCACTATCACCTTATCCAACACCATCATCAACATATTCATCATCACTATCACCATCATCATCACTATAATTTTCTCCACAGCCATCATCATCATCATCACCATCACCATCACTATCACTTTATCCAACACCATCATCATCATCAAACTCGCCATCACTACCACTATAACTATCACCATCACCACCACCATCACCATCACCATCACCCTCACCATCGCCCTCATCATCAACATCACATTCGCTGTCACCTTATCCAACACCATCACCATCACCTTATCCAGCAACATCATCAAAACCATCACCATCACTATCACCTTATCCAACACCATCATCATCAAATTCACCATCACCATCGCCATCACCTTATCCACAGCCATCATCGTTATCATCACCATCACCATCACTATCAGTTTATCCAACACCAAAATCATCAAACTCGCCATCACTACCACTATAATTATCACCATCAGCATCACTATCATCTTATCCAACACCATCACCATTCAGATCACCATCACAATCACCACCATCATCACCATCACGCTCATCATCACCATCACCATCGCTATCACCTTATCCAACACCATCACGATCAACATCAACATCACATCACCATCACCATCAAGATCTTCTTATACAACACCATCACCAACACCATAACCATCACTACCACCTTATCCAGCAAAATGATCATCACCATCACCATCCTCATCACCATTACCATCACCATCACCATCACTATCACCATATCAAAAGACATCACCATCTCAATCACCCTATCCAACACCATCACGATCACCATCAACATAACCATCGCCATCACTATCTTCTTATCCAACACCATCACCATCACTGCCACCTTATCCAGCAACATCACCATCAGCATCACCATCACAATCGCTTTATCCAACACCATCACGATCACCATCAACATAACCATCGCCATCACTATCTTCTTATCCAACACCATCACCATCACTGCCACCTTATCCAGCAACATCACCATCAACATCACCATCACAATCGCTTTATCCAACACCATCACGATCACCATCAACATCATCATCACCATCACCATCACTATCACATTATCCTACACCATCATCATCAAAGTCGCCATCACTACCACCATAACTATCACCATCACCGTCACTATCATCTTATCCAACACCATCACCATCAAGATCACCATCACCATCACCACCACCATCACCATCACCATCACCATCACCCTCAACATCACCATCACCATCGCTATCACATTATCCAACACCAGCACCATCACCATCGTTATCACCTTATCCAACACCATCACGATCACCATCAACATCACCATCACCATCAAGGTATTCTTATCCAACACCATCACCAACACCCTCACCATCACTACCGCCTTATCCAGCAACATCATCATCACCATCACCATCACTATCACCTTATCCAACACCATCATCATCATGTTCATCATCACTATCACCATCATCATCACTATAATTTTCTCCACAGCCATCATCATCATCATCACCATCACCATTACTATCACTTTATCCAACACCATCATCATCATCAAACTCGCCATCACTACCACCATAACTATCACCATCACCATCACTATCATCTTATCCAGCACCATCAGCATCAAGATCACCATCACCATCACCACCACCATCACCATCACCATCACCATCACCCTCAACATCACCATCACCATCGCTATCACATTATCCAACACCAGCACCATCACCATCGTTATCACCTTATCCAACACCATCACGATCACCATCAACATCACCATCACCATCAAGGTATTCTTATCCAACACCATCACCAACACCATCACGATCACTACCGCCTTATCCAGCAACATCATCATCACCATCACCATCACTATCACCTTATCCAACACCATCATCATCATGTTCATCATCACTATCACCATCATCATCACTATAATTTTCTCCACAGCCATCATCATCATCATCACCATCACCATTACTATCACTTTATCCAACACCATCATCATCATCAAACTCGCCATCACTACCACCATAACTATCACCATCACCATCACTATCATCTTATCCAGCACCATCAGCATCAAGATCACCATCACCATCACCACCACCATCACCATCACCATCACCATCACCATCACCATCACCATCGCCCTCATCATCACCATCACCATCGCTGTCACCTTATCCAACACCATCACCATCACCTTATCCAGCAACATCATCATAACCATCACCATCACCATCGCCAACACCTTATCCACAGCCATCATCGTTATCATCACCATCACCATCACTATCAACTTATCCAACACCAACATCATCAAACTCGCCATCACTACCACTATAATTATCACCATCACTATCACTATCATCTTATCTAACATCATCACCATCATGCTCATCATCACCATCACCATCGCTATCACCTTATCCAACACCATCACGATCACCATCAACATCACATCACCATCACCATCAAGATCTTCTTATCCAACACCATCACCAACACCATCACCATCACTACCACCTTATCCAGCAACATCATCATCACCATCACCATCACCATCACCATCACCATTACCATCACCATCACCATCACCAACATTATCACCATCACCACCACCATAATCATCACCATCACCATCACTATCACCTTATCCAACCCCATCACCATCACCATCATGTCGCCATGACTATCACCTTGTGCAACACCATCATCACTACCATCAACATCACCATCCCCAACATCATCACCATCACCGCCACCATAATCATCACCATCACCATCACTATCACCTTATCCAACCCCAGTAGCATCACCATCAAGTCACCATGACTATCACCTTGTCCAGCACCATCACCTTCACCATCAACATCACCATCACGATCACCATCACCATCATCATCACCATAACCATCACCATCACCATCACCATCTCAATCACCCTATCCAACACCATCACGATCATTGTCAACATAAACATTGCCATCACTATCTTCTTAACCAACACCGGTACCATCATCATCACTATCACTACCACCTTATCCAGCAACATCATCATCACTACCATTATAACTATCACCATCACCAACATCATCACGTCGCCATGACTATCACCTTGTGCAACACCATCATCACTACCATCAACATCACCATCCCCAACATCATCACCATCACCGCCACCATAATCACCACCATCACCGTCACTATCACCTTATCCAACCCCAGTAGCATCACCATCAAGTCACCATGACTATCGCCTTGTCCAGCACCATCACCTTCACCATCAACATCACCATCACGATCACCATCACCATCATCATCACCATAACCATCACCATCACCATCACCATCTCAATCACCCTATCCAACACCATCACGATCACTGTCAACATAAACATTGCCATCACTATCTTCTTAACCAACACCGGTACCATCATCATCACTATCACTACCACCTTATCCAGCAACATCATCATCACTACCACTACAACTATCACCATCACCAACATCATCACCATCACCACCACCATAATCATCACCATCACCATCACTATCGCCTTATCCAACCCCATCAATATCACCATCACGTCACCATGACTATCACCTTGTCCAGCAGCATCACTATCACCATCAACATCACCATCACCATCACCATCATCATCACCATAACCTTATCCACAGCCATCATCATCATCATCACCATCACTATCACCTTATCCAACACCATAATCATCAAACTCGCCATCACTACCACCATAACTATCACCACCACCATCACTATCATCTCATCCAACACCATCACCATCAAGATCACCATCACCATCACCACCACCATCACCATCGCTATCACCTTATCCTGCACCACCACGATCACCATCAACACCACCATCACCATCAAGAACTTCTTATCCAACACCATCAACAACACCATCACCATCACTACCACCTTATCCAGCAACATCATCATCATCATCACCATCACCATCACCATTACCATCACCATCACCATTACGATCACAATCACCATCACCATCACCATCGCCAACATCATCACCATCACCACCACCATAATCATCACCATCACTATCACCTTATCCAACCCCATCAAAATCACCATCACGTCGCCATGACTATCACCTTGTGCAACGCCATCATCACTATCATCAACATCACCATCACCAACATCATCACCATCAACGCCACCATAATCATCACCATCAGCATCACTATCACCTTCACCAACCCCATCCCCATCACCATCATGTCACCATGACTATCACCTTGTCCAGCACCATCACCATCACCATTACAATAACCATCACCATCACCATCAACATCAATATCACCTTATCCAACACCATCAACTTAACTATCGCGATCATTACCTTCTTATCCAACACCATCACCGTTACCATCACCATCACTAGCACCTATTCAAAGAACATCACCATCTCAATCACCCTATCCAACACCATCACGATCACCATCAACATAAACATCGCCATCACTATGTTCTTATCCAACACCGTTACAATCACCATTACTATCACTACCACCTTATCCCGCAACATCATCATCAACATCACTATCACTACCACCAGAACTATCACCATCAATAACATCATCACCATCACCACCACCATAATCATCACCATCACCATCACTATCACCTTATCCAATCCCATCAACATCACCATCACGTCACCATCACCATCACCATTACCATCACCATCACCATTACCATCACCTTATCCAGCAACATCATCATCATCATCACCATCACCATCATCATTACCATCACCATCACCATTACCATCACCATCACCATCACCATCACCAACATCATCACCATCACCACCACCACCATAATCATCACCATCACTATCACCTTATCCAACCCCTTCACCATCAGCATCATGTCAACATGACTATCACCTTGTCCAGCACCATCGCCATCACCATAACCATCACCATCACCATCAACATCAATATCACCTTATCCAACACCATCAACTTAACCATCGCGATCATTATCTTCTTATCCAACACCATCACCATTACCATCACTACCACCTTATCCAGCAGCATCATCATCAACATCACCATCACTACCACCAGAACTATCACCATCAATAACATCATCACCATCACCACCACCATAGTCATCACCATCATTATCACTATCACCTTATCCAATCCCATCAACATCACCATCACGTCACCATGACTATCACCTTGCCCAACACCATCACCATTGCCATCAACATCACCATCACCAACATCATCACCATCACCACCACCATAATCATCACCATCACCATCACTATCACCTTATCCAAACCCATCACCATCACCATCACGTCACCATGACTATCACCTTGTCCAGCTGCATCACTATCACCCTCAACATCACCATCACCATCACCATCATCATCACCATAACCTTATCCACAGCCATCATCATCACTCTCATCATCACCATCACCATCGCTATCACCTTATCCAGCACCACCACGATTACCATCAACATCAACATCCAACACCATAATCATCAAACTCGCCATCACTACCACCATAACTATCACCACAATCATCACTATCATCTCATCCAACACCATCACCATCGAGATCACCATCACCATCACCACCATCATCACCATCACCATCACTCTCATCGTCACCATCACCATCGCTATCACCTTATCCAGCACCACCACGATCACCATCATCATCACCATCACCATCAAGATCTTCTTATCCAACACCATCACCACCACCTTCACCATCACTATCACCTTATCCAGCAACATCATCATCATCACCACCATCACCATCACCATCACCATTACCATAACCATCCCCATTACAATCACCATCACCATCACCATCACCAACATCATCACCATCACCACCACCATAATCATCACCATCACTTTCACCTTATCCAACCCCATCACCATCACCATCACGTCGCTGTGCCTATCACCTTGTGCAACACCATCATCGCTACCATCAACATCACCATCACCAACATCATCATCATCACCGCCACCATAACCATCACCATCAGCATTACCATCACCTTCTCCAACCCCACCACTATCACTATCATCTCATCCAACACCATCACCATCACCATCACCATTACCATCACCATCCCCATTACAATCACCATCACCATCACCATCACCATCACCAACATCATCACCATCACCACCACCATAATCATCACCATCACTATCACCTTATCCAACCCCATCACCATCACCATCACGTCGCTATGCCTATCACCTTGTGCAACACCATCATCGCTACCATCAACATCACCATCACCAACATCATCACCATCACCGCCACCATAATCATCACCATCAGCATCACCATCACCTTCTCCAACCCCATCACCATCACCATCATGTCACCATGACTATCACCTTGTCCACCACCATCACCATCACCATATCCATCACCATCACCATCAACATCAATATCACCTTATCCAACACCATCAACTTAACCATCGCAATCATTATCTTCTTATCCAACACCATCACCATTACCATCACCATCACTAGCACCTATTCAAAGAACATCACCATCTCAATTGCCCTATCCAACACCATCACGATCACTATCAACATAAACATCGCCATCACTATGTTCTTATCCAACACCGTTACAATCACCATTACTATCACTACCACCTTATCCAGCAACATCATCATCAACATCACCATCACTACCACGAGAACTATCACCATCAATAACATCATCACTATCACATTGCCAAACACTATCACCATTACCATCAACAGCCTTATCACCAACATCATCACCATCACCTCCACCATAATCGCCAACATCACCATCACCATCACTATCATCTTATCCAACCCCATCACCATCACCATCACTTCACCATGACTATCACCTTGTCCAGCAGCATCACCATCACCATCATCATCACCATCACCATCATCATCACGATAACCATCATCATCACCATCACCATCAATATCACCTTATCCAACACCATCAACATAACCATCGCGATCACTATCTTCTTATCCAACACCATCACCATAACCAACAATATCACTATCACCATATCAAAGATCATCACCATCTCAATCATCCTATCCGACACCATCACGATCACCATCAACATAATCCTCGCCATCACAAACTTCTTATCCAACACCATCATCATCATCATCACCATCACCATCACCATCACTCTCACCTTATCCAACACAATCATCATCAATTTCGCTATCACTACCACCATAAATATCACCATCACCATCACTATCATCTTATCCAACACCATCACCATCACCATCACCATCACCATCACCATCACCATCACCAACATCATCACCATCACCACCCTCATAATAGTCACCATCACCAACACTATCGACTTATCCAACCCCATCACCATCACCATCACGTCACCATGACTATTACCTTGTCCAGCACCATCACCATTACCATCAACATCACCATCACCAATAACATCAACATCACCATCACCATAATCATGACCATCGCCATCACTATCATCTTATCCAACACCATCACCATCACCGTCACCATCACCATCACCATCACCAACACTATCACTATATCGAAGAACATCACCATCTCAATCATCCTATCCAACACCATCACGATCACCAACAATATAACCATCGCCATCACTATCTTCTTATCCAACACCATCACCATCACCATCACCATCACTGCCAACTTATCCAGCAACATCAACATCAACAGCATCATCACAATCGCCGTATCCAACACCATCACGATCACCATCAAGATCACCATCACCATCACCACCACCATAATCATCACCATTACCAACACTATCGCCTTATCCAACCCCATCACCATCACCATCACGTCACCATGACTATCACCTTGTCCAACACCATCACCATTATCATGAACATCACCATCACCAACATCATCAACATCACCACCACCACCATAATCATGACCATCACCATCACTATCATCTTATCCAACACCATCACCATTCAGATCACCATCACCATCACCACCACCATCACCATCACCATCACGCTCATCATCACCATCACCATCGCTATCACCTTATCCAACACCATCACGATCACCATCAACATCACATTCACCATCGAGATCATCTTATCCAACACCATCACCAACACCATCACCATCACTACCACCATCACCATTATCATCACCATCACCATCACCAATATTATCACCATCACCACCACCATAATCATCACCATTACCATCACTATCACCTTCTCCAACCCCATCACCATCACCATCACGTCGCCATGACTATCACCTTGTGCAACACCATCATTACTACCATCAACATCACCTTCACCAACATCATCAACATCACCACCACCATAATCATGACCATTACCATCACTATCAATTTATCCAACATCATCATCATCAAACTCGCCATCACTACCACTATAATTATCACCATCACCATCACTACCATCTTATCCAACACCATCACCATTCAGATCACCATCACCATCACCACCACCATCACCATCACCATCACGCTCATCATCACCATCACCATCGCTATCACCTTATCCAACACCATCGCGATCACCATCAATCTCACCATCACCATCAAGATCTTCTTATCCAACACCATCACCAACACCATCACCATCACTACCACTTTATCCAGCAACATCATTATCACCATCACCATCACCATCACCATTATCATTACCATCACCATCACCAACATTATCACCATAACCACCGCCATAATCATCACCATCACCATCACTATCACCTTATCCAACCCCATCACCATCACCACCATCATCATGTCGCCATTATCATCACCATCACCATCACCAACATTATCACCATCACCACCACCATAATCATCACCATCACCATCACTATCAACTTATCCAACACCGTCATCATCAAACTCGCCATCACTACCACTATAATTATCACCATCACCATCACGACCATCTTATCCAACACCATCACCATTCAGATCACCATCAACATCACCACCACCATCACCATCACCATCACCATCACCATCACCATCACCATCGCTATCACCTTATCCATCACCATCACGATCACCATCAACCTCACCATCACCATCAAGATCTTCTTATCCAACACCATCACCAACACCATCACCATCACTACCACCTTATCCAGCAACATCATTATCACCATCACCATCCCTATCATCACTACCATCAACATCACCTTCACTAACATCATCACTATCACCGCCACCATAATCATCACCATCACCATCACTATCACCTTATCCAACCCCAGTACCATCACCATCACGTCACCATGACTATCATCTTGTCCAGCACCATCACCATCACCATCAACATCACCATCACGATCACCATCACCATCATCATCACCATAACCATCACCATCACCATCTCAATCACCCTATCCAACACCATCACGATCACTGTCAACATAAACATCGCCATCACTATCTTCTTATCCAACACCGTTACCATCACCATCACTATCACTACCACCTTATCCTGCAACATCCTCATCACTACCACTATAACTATCACCATCACCAACATCATCACCATCACCACACCATAAACATCACCATCACCATCACTATCACCTTATCCAACCCCATCAACATCACCATCACGTCACCATGAATATCACCTTGCCCAACACCATCACCATTACCATCAACATCACCATCACCAGCATCATCACCGTCACCAGCATCATCACCATCACCACCACCATATTCATCACCATCACCATCACTATCACCTTATCCAACCCCATCACCATCACCATCACGCCACCATGACTATCAACTTGTCCAGCAGCATCACTATCACCATCAACATCACCATCACCATCACCATCATCATCACCATAACCTTATCCACAGCCATCATCATCATCATCATCATCATCACCATCACCATCACTATCAGCTTATCCAACACCATAATCATCAAACTCGCGATCACTACCACCATAAATATCATCACCACCATCACTATCATCTCATCCAACACCATCACCATCAAGATCATCATTACCATCAACACCACCATCACCATCACCATCACCCTCATCATCACCAACACCATCGCTATCGCCTTATCTAGCACCACCACGATCACCATCAACATCACCATCACCATCAAGATCTTCTTATCCAACACCATCACCATCTCCATCACGTCGCCATGATTATCACCTTGTGCAACACCATCATCACTACCATCAACATCACCATCACCAACATCATCACCATCACCGCCACCATAATCAACAAAATCATGATCACCTTATCCAACCCCATCACCATCTCCATCACGTCGCCATGATTATCACCTTGTGCAACACCATCATCACTACCATCAACATCACCATCACCATCACCATCACCCTCATCATCACCAACACCATCGCTATCACCTTATCTAGCACCACCACGATCACCATCAACATCACCATCACCATCAAGATCTTCTTATCCAACACCATCACCAACACCATCACCATCACTACCACCTTATCCAGCAACATCATCATCACCATCACCATCACTATCACCATCACCATTACCATCGCCATCACCATTAGCATCACGATCACCATCACCATCACCAACATCGTCACCATCACCAACATCGTCACCACCACCACTACCATAATCATCGCCATCACTATCACCTTCTCCAACCCCATCACCATCACCATCACGTCACCATGACTATCACCTTGTCCAGCACCATCACCATCACCATAACCATCACCACCAACATCAACATCAATATCGCCTTATCCAACACCATCAACTTAACCATCACGTCACCATGACTATCACCTTGTCCAGCAACATCACCATCACCATAACCATCACCACCAACATCATCATCACTACCACTATAACTATCACCATCACCAACATCATCACCATCACCACCACCATAATAATCACCATCACCATCACTATCACCTTATCGAACCCATCAACATCACCATCACGTCACCATGACTATTACCTTCCCAGCAGCATCACTATCACCATCAACATCACCATCACCATCACCATCATCATCACCATAACCTTATCCACAGCCATCATCATCATCATCACCATCACCATCACTATCACCTTATCCAACACCATAATCATCAAACTCGCCATCACTACCACCATAACTATCACCACCACCATCACTATCATCTCATCCAACACCATCACCATCAAGATCATCATCACCATCACCACCACCATCGCCATCACCATCACCCTCATCATTACCAACACCATTGCTATCACCTTATCCAGCACCACCACCATCACCATCAACATCACTACCACCTTATCCAGCAACATCATCATCACCATCACCATCACCACCACCATTACCATCACCATCACCACCACCATAATCATCACCATCACTATCACCTTATCCAACCCCATCACCATCTTCATCACGTCGCCATGATTATCACCTTGTGCAACACCATCATCACTACCATCAACATCACCATCACCAACATCATCACCATCACCGCCACCATAATCATCACCATCAGCATCACTATCACCTTCTCCAACCCCATCACCGTCACCATCACGTCACCATGACTATCACCTTGTCCAGAACCATCACCATCACCATAACCATCACCACCAACATCAACATCAATATCACCTTATCCAACACCATCAACTTAACCATCGCGGTAATTATCTTCTTATCCAACACCATCACCATTACCATCACCATCACTAGCACCTATTCAAAGAACATCACCATCTCAATCACCCTATCCAACACCGTTACAATCACCATTACTATCACTACCACCTTATCCAGCAACATCATCATCAACATCACCATCACTACGACGAGAACTATCACCATCAATAACATAATCACTATCACATTGCCAAACACTATCACCATTATCATCAACAGCCTTATAACCAACATCATCACCATCACCTCCACCATAATCGTCACCATCACCATCACTATCACCTTATCCAACCCCATCACCATCACCATCACGTCACCATGACTATCACCTTGTCAAGCGGCATCACCATCACCATCAACATCACCATCATCATCACCATCGCCATCATCATCACGATAACCATCATCATCACCATCATCATCACTATCTTCTTATTCAACACCATCACCATAACCAACACTATCACTATCACCAAATCAAAGAACATCACCATCTCAATCACCCTATCCGACACCATCACGATCACCATCAACATAATCCTCGCCATCACAAACTTCTTATCGAACACCATCATCCTCACCATCACCATCAATATCACCTTATCCAACACAATCATCATCAAATTCGCTATCACTACCACCATAAATATCACCATCACCATCACTATCATCTTATCCAACACCATCACCATCACCATCACCACCACCATCACCATCACCAACATCATCACCATCACCACCGCCATAATAATCACCATCACCAACACTATCGACTTATCCAACCCCATCACCATCACCATCACGTCACCATGACTATCACCTTGTCAAGCAGCATCACCATCACCATCAACATCACCATCATCATCACCATCACCATCATCATCACGATAACCATCATCATCACCATCATCATCACTATCTTCTTATTCAACACCATCACCATAACCAACACTATCACTATCACCATATCAAAGAACATCACCATCTCAATCACCCTATCCGACACCATCACGATCGCCATCAACATAATCCTCGCCATGACAAACTTCTTATCGAACACCATCATCCTCACCATCACCATCAATATCACCTTATCCAACACAATCATCATCAAATTCGCTATCACTACCACCATAAATATCACCATCACCATCAATATCACCTTATCCAACACAATCATCATCAAATTCGCTATCACTACCACCATAAATATCACCATCACCATCACTATCATCTTATCCAACACCATCACCATCACCACCACCATCACCATCACCAACATCATCACCATCACCACCACCATAATAATCACCATCACCAACACTATCGACTTATCCAACCCCATCACCATCACGATCACGTCACCATGACTATTACCTTGTCCAGCACCATCACCATAAGCATTAACATCACCATCACCAACAACATCAACATCACCATCACCAAAATTATGACCATCACCATCACTAGCACCTTATCCAACACCATCACCATCACCATCACGTCACCATGACTATCACCTTGTCCAGCACCATCACCATCACAATCAACATCACCATCACGATCACCATCATCATCACTATAAGCTTTTCCAGCACCATCAACATAACCATCGCGGTCACTATCTTCTTATCCAACACCATCACCATCACCATCACCATCACTATATCCATATCAAAGAACATCACCATCTCAATCATCCTATCCAACACCATCACGATCTCCAACAACATAACCATCGCCATCACTATCTTCTTATCCAACACCATCACCATCACCTTCACCAACACTGCCAACTTATCCAGCAACATCACCATCAACAGCATCATCACAATCGCCGTATCCAACACCATCACGATCACCATCACCTTCGCTATCACCTTATCCAACACGATCATCATCAAACTCGCCATCACTACCACCATAATCATCACCATCACCAACACTATCGCCTTATCCAACCCCATCACCATCACCATCACGTCACCATGACTATCACCTTGTCCAACTCCATCACCATTACCATCAACATCGCCATCACCAACATCTTCAACATCACCACCAACATAATCATGACCATCACCATCACTATCACCTTATCCAACACCATCACCATCACCATCACGTCAACATGACTATCACCTTATCCAGCACCATCACCATCACCATCAACATCACCATCACAATCACCATCACCATCATCATCACAAAACCACATCATCACCATCACCAACACTATCACCTTATCCAGCACCATCAACACAACCATCGCGATCACTATCTTCTTATCCAACACCATCACCATCACAATCACCATCACCATCAACAACACCATCACCATCAAGATCACCATCACCACCACCACCATCATAATCATCACCATCACCAACACTATCGCGTTATCCGAACCCATCGCCATCAACATCACGTCACCATGACTATCACCTTGTCCAACACCATCACCATTATCATCAACATCACCATCACCAACATCATCAACATCACCACCACCATAATCATCACCATCATCATCACTGCCACCTTATCCAGCAACATCACCATCAACAACGCCATCACAATCGCCGTATCCAACACCATCACGATCACCATCAACATCATCATCACCATCACCATCACTATCACCATCACCATCACCATTACCATCACCATCAACTTATCCACAGCCATCATCATCATCATCATCATCATCACCATCACTATCACCTTATCCAACACCATCATCATCAAACTCGCCATCACTACCACCATAACTATCACCATCACCATCACTATCATCTCATCCAACATAATCACCAACAAGATCACCATCAAAATCACCACCACCATCACCATCACCGTCACCATCACCTTATCCACAGCCATCATCATCATCATCGCCATCACCATCACTTTCACCTTATCCGACACCATCATCATCAAACTCGCCATCACTACCACCATAACTATCACCATCACCATCACTATCATCTTATCCAACACCATCATCATCAAGATCACCATCACCATCACAACAACCATCACCCTCGCCATCGCCCTCATCATCACCATCACCATCGCTATCAAGATCCCCAACAGCATCAACATCACCATCACCACCACCATTACCATCACCATCACCATCACTATCAGCTTATCCAACACCATCAACATCACTCTCACCATCAACTTCACCTTATCCAACGTCATCACAATCATCTTCAACATCACAATCACCTAATCTAACACCATCACCATCAAATTCACCATCACTACCTCTATAACTATCACCATCAACATCGCTCTCATCTTATCCAACACCATCACCATCCCCATCACCATCACCATCACCATCACCATCACCATCACCATCACCATCACCATCACCATCACCGTCACCATCACCATCACCTTATCCACAACCATCATCATCATCATCATCACTATCAGCATCACCATCAACCTCATAATCACAATCACCATCACCATCACAACTACCATAACCATCACCATCACAATCCTTATCACCTTATCCAACACCATCACCATCGCGATCAGCATCACTATCTTATCATCCAACACCATCAGCAACACTATCACCATCACCATCACCATCACCATCACCATCACCATCACCATCAATCATACTATCAAGTTATCCAACACCATTACCATCACTATCACATTATCCAACACCATCACCATGACCATCACCATCACCATCACCATCACCATAACCATCACCATCACCATCACTGTCACCTTATCCAACAACATCACCATCAAAAGCACCATCGCTATCACATTATCCAACACCATCACCATGACCATCACCATCACCATTACCATCACCATCACCATCACCATCACCATCACCATCACCATCACCATCACCATCACTAACACCATCAAGAGCACCATCATTATCACCCTATCCATCACCATCACTATCACCATCACCATCATCATCACCATCACCATCACTATCAACTTATCCGAAACCATCACCATCACCATCAACATCACCATCACCAACCTCATCACCATCACTACCACCATTACTATCGCCATCCCCATCACTATCAACTTATCCAACACCATCACCATCACCATCACCAACAACATCGCGACCACCATCACCATCACCCTATCCAACATCATCACCATCATCATCACTATCACCTTCTTCATCACCCTCATCATCACCATCACCATCGTTATCACCATCTCCAACAATATCATCATCACCGTCACCAACATCGTCACCACCACCACCATCATCATCATCACCATCACTATCAGCTTACCCAACACCTTCACCATCACCATCACCATCACTACCACCAATTCTATCACCATCCCCATCACTATCAACTTATCCAACACCATCACCATCACCATCACCAACACCATCGACACCACCATCACTATCAACTTATCCAACACCATCATCATCACCATCACCATCACCAACACCATCGCCATCACCGTCACCTTATCCAACATCAGCACCATCATCATCACTATCACCTTCTTCATCACCCTCATCATCACCATCACCATCGTTATCACCATCCCCAACAGTATCACCATCATCATCACTATCAACTTGCCCAACACCATCACCATCACCATCAGCATCACTATCACCATCACCATCACCATCGCCATCACCATCACCATCACCATCACCATCACCATCACCATTATCATCACCATCACCATCGCCATCACCATCACCATCACCATCACTATCACCATCAATATTACTATCAACTTATCCAACACGATTACCATCATTATCACATTATCCAACACCATCACCATGACCATCACCATCACCATTACCATCACCATCACCATCACTATCAGCTTATCCAACAACATCACCATCAACAGCACCATCACTATCACCTTATCCAACACCATCACCATCACCATCACCATCACCATCACCATCACCATTACCATCACGGACAACATCGCCACCACCATCACCATCACCAACACCATCGCCATCACCGTCACCTTATCCAACATCAGCACCATCATCATCACTATCACCTTCTTCATCACCCTCATCATCACCATCACCATCGTTATCACCATCCCCAACAGTATCACCATCATCATCACTATCAACTTGCCCAACACCATCACCATCACCATCAGCATCACTATCACCATCACCATCACCATCGCCATCACCATCACCATCACCATCACCATCACCATCACCATTATCATCACCATCACCATCGCCATCACCATCACCATCACTATCACCATCAATATTACTATCAACTTATCCAACACGATTACCATCATTATCACATTATCCAACACCATCACCATGACCATCACCATCACCATTACCATCACCATCACCATCACTATCAGCTTATCCAACAACATCACCATCAACAGCACCATCACTATCACCTTATCCAACACCATCACCATCACCATCACCATCACCATCACCATCACCATTACTATCACGGACAACATCGCCACCACCATCACCATCACTTTATCCAACATCATCACCATCACCATCACTATCACCTTATCCAAGAGCATCACCATTACCATCAACATCACCATCACCAACATCATCACCATCACCATCACCATAATCATCAACATCACCACCTCTTTCACCGTATCCAACACTATCACCATCACCATCAACATCACCATCACCATCGTTATCACCATCCCCAACAATATCATCATCACCGTCACCAACATCGTCACCACCACCACCATCATTAGCATCACCATCACTATCAGCTTACTCAACGCCATCACCATCACCATCACTATCACCTTATCCAAGAGCATCACCATTACCATCAACATCACCATCACCAACATCATCACCATCACCATCACCATAATCATGAACATCACCACCTCTTTCACCGTATCCAACACTATCACCATCACCATCAACATCACCATCACCATCGTTATCACCATCCCCAACAATATCATCATCACCGTCACCAACATCGTCACCACCACCACCATCATTAGCATCACCATCACTATCAGCTTACTCAACGCCATCACCATCACCATCACCATCACCATCACCATCACCATCACCATCACTACCACCAATTCTATCACAATCCCCATCACTATCAACTTATCCAACACCATCACCATCACCATCACCAACACCATCGCCACCACCATCACTATCAACTTATCCAACACCATCACCATCACCATCACCATCACCAACACCATCGCCATCACCATCACCTTATCCAACATCATCACCATCATCATCACTATCACCTTCTTCATCACCCTCATCATCACCATAACCATCGTTATCACCATCCCCAACAGTATCATTATCACCGTTACCAACATCGTCACCACCACCATCACCATCACCATCACCATCATCATCACTATCAACTTGCCCAACACCATCACCATCACCATCAGCATCACCATCACCATCACCATCACCATCACCATCACCATCACCATCACCATCACCATCACCATAACCATCAACATCGCCAGCACCAACATCATCGCCATCACCACTACCATAACCATCACCATCACCATCACCATCACTATCGCCTTATCCAACGCCATCACCATCACGATCAGCATCACTATCACCTCATCCAACACCATCACCATCACCATCACCATCACCATCACCATCACCATCACCATCACCTTCACCATCACCATCACCATCACCATCACCATCACCATCGCCATCACCATCACTATCACCATCAATATTACTATCAACTCATCCAACACGATTAACATCATTATCACATTATCCAACACCATCACCATGACCATCACCATCACCATCACCATCACCATTACCATCACCATCACCATCACCATCACCATCACTATCACCTTATCCAACAACATCACCATCAACAGCACCATCACTATCACCTTATCCAACACCATCACTATCATCATCACCATCACCATCACCATCACTATCACCTTATCCGAAACCATCACCATCACCATCAACATCACCATCACCAACATCATCACCATCACTACCACCATTACCATCACCATACCCATCACTATCAACTTATCCAACACCATCACCATCACCATCACCAACACCATCGCTACCACCATCACCATCACCTTATCCAACATCATCACCATCATCATCACTATCACCTTCTTCATCACCCTCATCATCACCATCACCATCGTTATCACCAACCCCAACAATATCATCATCACCGTTACCAACATCGTCACCACCACCACCATCATCACAATCACCATCACTATCAGCTTACCCAACACCATCACCATCACCATCACCATCACCATCACCATCACCATCACCATCACCATCACCATCACCATCACCATTGCTATCACCATCCCCAACAACATCAACATCACCATCATGAACATCGTCACTATCAGCATCAACATCGCCATCACTATCACCATCACCATCACCATCGGATTATCAACACCATCATCATCACCATAACTATCGCCATCAACATCACCATCACCATCACCGTATCCATCACCACCACCATCATCATCACTATCAGCATCACCATCATCATCGCCATCACAATCGCTATCACTATCCGCAACAATATCAACCTCACCGTCACCAACATCATCACTATCAGCACCACCATCACCATCACCGTCACCATCTCTTTTTTCATCACTATCACCATCACCATCATCGCCACTATCACCTTATCCAACACCATCACTATCACCCTCACCATCACCATCACCTTCACCTTATTCATCACTATCAACATCAACATCACCATCACTATCACCTAATCCAACACCATCACCACCAACATCACCATCACCAACATCATCACCATCACCACCAACTTAACTATCACCATCATCATCACTATCACCCTACCCAACACCATCACCCTTACCATCAACATCACCATCAACAACATCACCATCACCACCATCACCATCACCATCACCATCACCACCACCATAATCATCAACATCTTCATCACTATCACCATATCCAAGACCATCACCATCACCATCAACATCACCATCACCATCATCATAACCATCACCATCACCATCACCATCACTATCACACTATCCAACACTATCACCATCACCATCACCATCATCATCACCATCACCATCACCATCACCATCGCCATCACTATAACCTTGTCCAACACCTACACCATCACTATCACTATCACCTTTTCCGACACCATCACCATCACCATCCCCATCGCCATCACTATCACCTTATCCAACACCATCAACATCATCATCACCGTCACTATCACCTTATCCAACACCATCAACATCACCATAGCCATCACCTTATTTAACACCATCACCATCGCCATCACTATCACCTTGTCCAACACCTACTCCATCACCATCACTATCACCTTATCCGACACCATCCCCATCACCATCACCATCACCATCATCATCACCATCACCATCGCCATCACTATCACCTTATCCAACACCCTCACCATCACCATCACTATCACCTTATCCAAGAGCATCACCATTACCATCAACATCACCATCACCAACATCATCACCATCACCACCACCATAATCATCAACATCACCACCTCTTTCACCGTATCCAACACTATCACCATCACCATCAACATCACCATCACCATCGCCATAAATATCAACATCACCATCACTATCACACTATCCAACACCATCACCATCACCATCACCATCACCATCACCATCACCATCACCATCACCCTTACCATCACCATCACCACCACTATCACGTTATCCAACGCCTATTTCATCACCACCACTATCACCTTATCCGACAACATCACCATCACCATCACTATCACCTTATCCAACACCATCAACATCACCATCACCATCACTATCACCTTGTCCAACACCATCACCATCACCATCGCCATCACAAACATCTTATCCGACGCCATCACCAACATCATCACCATCACCTTATCCAACTCCATCACCATCAACATCACCATCACCATCGCTATCACCTTATCCAACACCATCACCATCACCATCACCATCACCATCACCATCACTATCACCTTCTCCAACACCATCACCATCACAATCACCATCACCAGTACTATCACCTTATCCAACAACAACACTATCACCAACAACATCACCATCATCAGCATCACAACCATCACCACCAGTACAATCATCAACATCACCATCACTATCAACTTATACAACACCTACATCATGACCATCACTATCAATTTATCCGACAACATCACCATCACAATCACGTCACCATCACGATCATCATCACCATTACCATCACCATCACCATCGCTATCACCGAATCCAACACCATCACCATTACCATCACCAACGTCATCACGATCACAACAAAAATAACTATCACCATCACTATCACCTTCTCATACACAATCACTATCACCATCAACATCGCTATCACATTAACATCACCAACAACATCACCATCACTATCACTTTATCCAACATCATCGCCATCACCACCACCATCATCATCAATATCAACATCACTATCACCATAACCATCGCATCGCATCACCATCACCATCACCATCACGACCACCAAAACCATCACCATCACCATCATTATCATATTATCCAACACCATAACCATCACCATCACCATCACTATCCCGTTAATCAACCCAATCCCCATCATCACCACCATCACCATCACCATCACTATCACCTTATCCAACGACATCACCATCACTATCACCATCACCATCCCCTTATTCAACACCATCACCATCACCATTAATACCAGCTTCAACGTCACCATCGCTATCACCAACACCATCGCTATCACCATGCGCAACAACATCAACACATTTCTGACTGAGCGGGTTTCCAAGTGTTCACCAAAATATCTGGTTTCATGTCATTTAGATGACTAACGCGAGCAAAAACAAAGAGAACTACCTGCCTGGAATCCAGTCGCGGCAGATGTCACAACCGCCATGTCTCCCAGGCCTGGGTTTTGTCTCCAAGTATATTCGGTGTTCGGAATACTCTTTTAAACTTTCGTTCTAGTCTTGTATTGAAGCTGATGTGTACTGTGACGCGGACATACTTTATCCTATTGTGAAATGCGCAAATTTAAACTCTAATGCTCTTTGTGCATAATTTCGCATTTAGGAGTACCTGCCAAAAGCTCATCGGCTTTTGGATATCTGATCTATGGTCAGTGTTCTTTTTTAAATAACCAATTCAAATTCAACTTAATAACCGAGTTTTAACTTTAACCAGCATAGAACATTATCAACTTTTTGTTTTTTAATCTGGTCTGAGTTTAATTGTATACTGTATTTTATAGTAGAAACCCGTATCGGTACATGGTCTCAAGCTAGACCAACGAATCGAACCTACGAGGTCTAGAGTTCTTTTGGAACAACGCATCTCGGTAAAGTCACCAAGACCGGGAAACATGGCCAAAAAATTCCAAATAACAATCATCGCCAAAGAGTCCGTGGATATTGAAGACGTGGTAAATCCATCTTTTAGGTCCGAATTATTCTTCCCAATTCCAGAAACATCGGAATAATCCAATGACATAACCCGTCGGCCTAAGAAAGAAGAAAGAAATATACAAGCGATACAGGCTTACAACGAAGACTTGCGAAGAAGAAAAGCCGAAGACAACGCAAAATACAATGGCCTACAAATCGGGACATTGGCAAGTAGCTAAACTCACGATTATACTTGGCGATCGGCAAAGAAAGCCAAAATTGCTTTGCACACAAAAACCTGGAAAAAGGATCCTTGACATACACTTTGCGGAATTCTGGGAGTTATTGAAAACCACGTTCTCTATAGCTATAAACCTAAATTATGAAAGATACAAGTTTTCTGGTCGAAGACAGAATTATCACGGAGTTCTATGAAGTTTTATTGGAACTGGCAAAAAAAAACTGCAAACTAGGAGACTTGGAGACCGAACTCGTTAGAGATTTTCCTATTACCAACATGAGAACAGAGAAATTCCAAAAAGTTGTGTATCAAGTATCTAACCCCTGAGAACATATTAGCCTCTCTACTAGTCCAGGAAGAAGGCACAAAGATACATCAACCGTATATTAAATACCCTGTGAGCAGTTCTGTACAAAAAACAAATTAAGTAAAAAGCGAACCGACCTTAAAATTGTAGAGTGTAATAAAAGTAGAAAATGTGGTCAATAATTTGAGAAGGGACACTTTACATCATGCCTAGCTAGAGATAAAAACTGTAATAACTGCAGCCGCAAAGGTCGTTTTGCGAAACATTGCAGAAGTACAGCCAGGGCACAAACCGATGTTGTAGAACGAAACTCGAAATTACTCGAACGTTAAACCCACCGGGATATAGCACAAGACAAATCCGAATTTCAAATAGACTTGGAGTTTTTTTCCAGTCTCAACAGTATATAGCGATAACGGAATAAACGCTATAAAAGACAGGATTGAAGGGGGAATAAGAACTAGTAATCAATCACGAAGGCCACCAGCCAAAGAATACTTTAATGATGTCAATCGGAAAATTAAGTCCATTCTCTACCGAAACATAAATTGATTCAGCCAGCCTGGTATCCTTCACGAAAAGAGACTTACTCCACGAACTCAAAAAAAGCGATAGATTCCTAAGAGTTGAAGGGATTGACGAAATTACGAAAAAGGCCTATCAAGTATTCGGGACCTTGATAAACATTATCGGAAAAGTCGTAGTAAGGATACCGTCAGAAGGATGGGACGCTAAACTTTAATTACTTCTTATCACTCAACGGCCGGAAAGAAACCTGCTCTGTAACCATATTCTACCAAACCTGAGGATAAATGTATCCCAAAAACAGGCACCACCCGCGCAACTTCATGCACTCACACTTCCGAAGGAAACTCGCGTCGGGAAGGAAGTAAACCAGATCAAATTTGAGTCTGACAACCATTCTTGTCCATTATTTGACACATCACAAAAGCGTGAGATTGAATTGTACATAACACATGAACTTACAGATCTTTCATTGAGAACAGGTAGATCAAAAAATTTTACTGTAAATACTTATTTCACCGAAAGTTTATAAGCAAAACAAGCAAAAAGCAAGCGTATACCTATACACTTATTTTCTACACTCAAACTCTGCATCAATCAGTTACTTACCGACGGTCACGTACAAAAACCCTATAGATGTTCGGAAGATTGCTTTATATCGCCTACCGTCATAACAGCAAAAAGAGACGGATGAATTAATTTAGCATCCAATTCAATGCAAAAAGGAAGAAAAAGCTTTTCAACGAAATATACAAAAAGGTCACAGATTATCATCCATTCGAGTTGCCAAGATTTTTATTTAGAATTTTTGTCGAAGCAGAAAACATTGTGGTTGAAAACAGTTTTTTTTCACTTCAACTGCCATTCATTACAACTTGTGATAATCTATGAGGTTTGACTTTCAGATAAATATACAGATAAAAAATTGTTTTCCAATGGCGGGAAGTCAGCCATTCGGTAATGCTTTAGTTTGCGTGCCGATTTTTTTTCAAACTGTTTTTAAATAAGTGCGTGGAGACTGCTATCTACATCTGCTTTCAAGTTCTAGCAAATATGATTTTGATTTTTTTTGGTAGATGTTCGTCTTTGGTTAGACTTTTTAACGGGAAAAATATGCAAGTTAAAGAAGTGTTTTACTTTCAAAATGTTTCAAATTTTGTTTCAGGATTATTCGGAGACGCTCGTATATATAAATTTTTTTGTATCACTCTTTTGCTCACAGTTTCCGCAGAGCATTCTATCAGCCGCATGCTTTATGCTCGCAAGGTCCAGCGATCAAACATTTGGAGAAGTGGCCGGCCACGCAACAGAAGAGTCGGCGTCATTGGTAAAAGTTCTTTTCGCTTTCATACTGTGCAGCGCTTGGCGAGGAGTCGCTTATCCATGGTGGATAACTTCGGCTGCGTTGGACAAAGTTGAATCACAACTACGTCGTGTTCGCGCCTGTTTTTCATGTTGTATTCCGCGAAATCATCAGCAAATGTCACAAGTCACCCCGATGCAAAATTCAGCTCGCTCGAACCCAGACACTGGTTATGCCGCACAAATGGATATTTGGAGGAGCGACAATATACCCAACAGTAACGTAACTACAGGAACTGAATTGGATGGCAGAGGGTTGGAAAACAACCAAAGCACGTGGGAGTCTTCCCCAAAATTCGAGAGGGAAGTAATGACCGATAGTTGCATTCGAGAAGAAAGAAGGGACTATGACCAAAACTATGACCATACCGGGGATCATGAGTGCACTGAGACTCTTGTCAACAATGGCGATAACATTCCAGGGACTAGCGAGCAAACGAACTATTGCAAGTCCGACTATCCCAATCTATCCCAATAACGCGACGGCTTTGATTCCCTGAAACGAACTTCCAAAAGAATTATCCTGAGCTCATATTGCAAAAATATCCTGCAAAAATGTACGCAAATACCCTTGGGATTGTAAAGATCATAACTTTGAAGTTGAGATCCTATACACAGGAGACTTACTCTATATTAAGACACATTATCACGATCTATAAGACAGAATTCAATAGCCAGCGACTGAAATTTTGAATAATTATTTATGTTTTTATTATTACTGAATGAAACCCACTAATATAACATAACAGAATGATTGATACGAAACATATATTTATATCTTTTACACGCTTATACGGTAGCATAATTAAGGGAATTCCCCAATCTATTGAGTATTCAATCCCCTGGCGACACAAAAAGCCTCCCAATTTGTCAGTTTGTACTTTTTTACGACATCTATTTTTCGACCTGCTGACCCTTATGACTGTCCAAAAATCTACGGGTTCCTGTTTTTTTTTTATTATTCAGGAAAATCGCCTTCTAAAAAACTTAATGAGTAACGTGAAAACGAGATTTTTGACCTAATAAAAGTTTCCCCTGGGAAAAGGTTTGTTTTTCTGAAATCAAAGTTTTTTTAATAATTTTTGCTTGCTTAAAAACCAAATGGCGTGGAAATTGTTAACAACCATTTAGCTGGCGAGAAACATTTTAAATATACCTTATTTCAAACGTTATTTTATAAGTTTTGCAAAGTTTGTTTTGTTGCGAGATGTGAACTGGCAACGATCAATTAAATTAATCAAAGATTGGGAACTATTGGGGGAAACTTTTACTCTGAAATTCGCTGCTCCTGAAAAAATTGAAAAACTGGACCTGGGATGAAAAAAACGGCTGTTAAGTTGATGTTTTTTCGAGGAGTTTGCTTGTGCTCCTTGTTGTTTGACCACAAGGCTTCAACTACTGAATCCTTCGCGTGAGAAGTCCCCCGCCAGATCCTCATCCATGGTGAGTTTGCTGCCAAAAAGTATGTTTTTGGTCAACCAGCCCGGAGGCCTGACCCGAATGTTAATTTCTTAGGCTGACAAGAGCGGGTATAATCAGCTTCCAATTAATCTATGACTTACTTGCAAGAGATCAATTTGCAAACTGCAGCGAACGTTCGATTTGAACCAGCAACTATATGGGCACCAGCGCTACCGGAGCGCCACAACGTCATACTCCATGGGAAAGAGCTGAATGAGCCCATTTGTTATTTAACTTTAATGAAAAAAGGCTGGAAAACAACCAAAAAACTATAAAGTAGTTACGGTTATGATGGGTCGAAGTTAGACCTTCTCGGAAATATTACTGCCATTGTATTTGTCGAGATAGGCAGTTTAAAGAAGATCATCAAAAGTTTAACTAGTTTTGCCGAAAAAACTACCTGCTGATCTAGCTACATAAGTTTATTTAAAAAAAAAACAATTTAGTGCCGGTCTTAAAATCTTCTGGCTTAGTTTTAAGAGACAAAAACTTTTTCGTTTCCCAATTAATCATTAGGTGAAAATAACCCAGCTTCTGCTACTTTCGTCAAATATAATAATGAATAAAGGATATCAATAAGCAATTAATTCGACGGGCAGTATTACATGCCGGAGTATAGCACTGCCGAGAATCAAATCTTGTTCA